TCTCACCTAATGAGATTTTGGCAGAAAAATAGAATATTTGATTTTTTCATTATGGCATAATAATAATAATAATAATAATAATGATAAGCGCTCGACCTAGAGTTTGCAGAGTTACCGAAATTTATCAGAGATTTGAATACTCTCTCGATCGCGCGGGGAGAATAAAAACGGAGGGAGGGCGGAGGAGGGTTGGTGAACGCGTTCTCCGCGAGCCGACAGGATATCCCGTAGGAACGACGACGAGCACGCGGGACACGCGGGGGTGAATTCGTGCTATGCCCGACATGTGAGCACGCATAGGGCCTCTCCACACCGCCGGGTGTCGCGTTTCGGCGCGTGCTGTGCGTCAACGTACCGTGGAAACCGCATAGCGTCCGCCACGCTACATGAATAAAGTGCAACAAAGCGAGAGAGAGAGAGAGGGATATCTTCATTTTACTACATAAACTTTAGAAAAAAAGAAATGCCTGTAACCCCTAATTAGCCGCCTGTTCTCTCTACGTAGGAAGCAAAATAAGAAATTAAAGTAAAAAATAGTGCAAGATAATTAATTTTAATTGTGAAATCAAGTAGCATCAAGATATTGTATGAATAATTATATGTTTGAAAAAGTTGAGAAAAGTTCAATCATAAAAGTTGATTTTTTAGTGGCTTTTTTCCCCGATAACATTTTGCTTTGAGAATTTCATAAAGTTTCTTGATTCAGAAAATTGTTTAGAGATAATTTATTTTGTTATCGTAAGTTATTATTATTCAAGAATGCAAATCATTTTGCACATTAAGAATGATGTATAATTGTATTTTAGTAGTCGACGCATAAGAGTTCATATTATCATATCATAATCAAGCACTTGTTTATGTTAAAAAAGTAGGCTATCGCAAATTGATTGAAAAATATTTGCGCTTCTTATTACATAAAAATTAAGAGGAAAATTGCGCAGTTTTAGAAATCGAGTCACAAATATTTTTTCCACCTAGAAAAACATTTTAATCTTTTTCTAAACTACTACTCCCAACTTTATTTGGAGCAAAAAAAATGTGACAAACACTTTTCGCATAATTTAATACGAATAAGCAAAATCTTTGGATACATATCTTCACAAACTTAAGAACTCAAAAATTCGTGTTTACGAGGACGACACGGTATTGATCGCGTTGTTAAAAACATAACGTAGCTCGTGGTAGCGATGTAACTTCGCGATAAGCCCGTGAGACAGGGAAACGACACAGCCGTATCGATTCTTTTTTTTTTTTTCATTATGTCCAGTGTACGTAAGAAGACACATGCGCGGCGAATGTAAGACCTACAGAACGATATCAAACGGTAATGTTGAACAAAATGACATTAATCATACGCGTCTTTTATTATGTAGATGCATCAAATTCTTGAATTTTGACAAATTTTCGCATTTTGTGATATTTCGTCCGAAATGCAAAATATCCTTAATAATGTATAAGTTGTGTGTTGTGTTCTATTTAATTTACTTTAATTGAAATATACTTTGGTAATATAATTTAATGTAAATTAAATCGAGGAATTATCTTAGATCTAAGAATTTAATTACCAGACATTTAGAATTTAAATGCTTTGATTCTAAAAAATACAGACAACATTTTAAATTCGAAACGATTATAATCTTCCTCTTGTTTTCAGCTACTGCTTGAAACATTTTTCAAGATCCGTATAGATACGTGAAAAAATTACACAATTTGAACAAGAACTTTATCATCATGAAATAAATGTTTGTGAATTATTGAGCTGCTGAGCTACTTGCAGAAATATATTGTATATGGAATGCATTTGACGAAAGTAAATAGAAAGATACGAGGAGCTTCGCGACTAATGCACCTGACCCCCTCGTGTGACGATCGATAGCGACGACGATGGTGAATGCAATTAAACGCAAATGACATCCAGCAATGAGGCACACGTTATAGTCATTACTAGAATGAATTCGTGCACGAACAACAATAGCGGTGGTATAATAAAGGCAATTTAAGAGCGCAACGTTACGTTCGCTGATTGATCACGATTTTAACGGGTATGAGCGAATTATTTGTCGTTTGGAGCTTGTCAAAAAATCTAAAAGACGTTCTACATATTTTTTCTCGAATAATACTCTGTAAATTAACCTAATTTTTGCTTTTCTCGTATTTCTTTTAGACGATTTAAATCTTGATTTTAATATATGAAGCTAATTTGTCGTATTTTGATTTGTCAATCTTTGCTCCAATTTTTAGAGGTATTGATATAAAGAAAATTTCTTGAAAAATTGTAAATTGAAGAGTATCTATGTTAGGAGTAACTCTCTACATATTTGTACGCTTATTAGGCTTATATAACGGGGTAGATTCAGGGGTTTCGCGAAACGCGTTTGCCGTTTAGATCGAATAAGTTCTACGGGACGGATTTTCTTGTAGAGAAAGAGAGAGAGAGAGAGAGAGATACGTGGGAAACAATGGGAAGAGGCTCTAATCTGAAGGGCACTGAATCGAGCCCTTCTACTTCTTTGGCATTTTCTCCTCCCGGCGATTCTTTATACCCCCGTGTGCCGCGCCTTTTCTACGTTCCCAGCCTTTTCCACGACCCTAAGAGAGTTTCGTGCTACGAAAAGCTGTCTGAACATTTACACTATAGAAGTAATCCCTCTCTTCTCGACATTATGTGTATGCTTCGGTAGACTCGCAAAGAAATGACAGAAAAGAAGAAAGAATGAAAAAGAGAGGAAAAAAGGCAAGCCATTTTTTTTAATAGGATAGAATTTTAGTTCCTCAAAATATATATTTGCGGGGTTTGCGAATTTTAATTTAGGCAAAATTGTCTAATAAACTTAAAGTCTCGAAAGGGATGATTTAATGATAAAATCATTATTGATGAAAGAAAATGTTTTAATTTCTCGAAATTAAAGTCGCAAGGGTAGTGTACTATCGAGATACGTATAATTATATACAAAGAAATAGAAATGGAAGAATCGTGGGAAACAATCTTACTGGAATCCCAAAGCCCGTTCAAAGTCAACCTCGAGGAACATCTTTCTTTCCCTCTCTCGGCGGAAGTCTCGATCGCTTCGGATCATTCCGCTTTCCGTGATCATGCTCGAGTGACACGAAAATCGAGAAAGTCCCGCGCGGTGATTCCGGTGGTTGGGAAGAGAATGGTCCAGGAGGGTTGTCGGAGGTGGTGGGCGAAGGAAGAGAGAGGGAAGGACGACGGCGTGGCGAACATGGCGGCTCCGGAAAGCGAGACGAAGCCGTGCCGAGGTCGCGCGCGGCTGCGCCGCGACGCCGTCGTCGACGGCGACGGCGACGGCGACCGCGTGACCGCCGCACTCGACGGATCAATACTTGGACGCAAGCGGCGAGCGCCGCGACGCGGAGCGCCGCCGCATCGCGCCGCGAACGAAGGATGTTGAATTCGAAAAGTGTTATTCCGCGCGTCTATCTCTGAATGATATGGAAGGGAACGCCTCTCCCACGTGGGTCAGCCACGTGTGCGCTTCCGCTGTCCGCGCGCGCGCTTCGTGCGGATCTTTTGCGCGCGTATATTTCCCCAAAACATGTCCCGCGTGCGATTTAGCGCTCCAGCCTTTTTATCCCAGAGCTCGCTTAATAACGTTCGTCGATCGCCTTGCACATTTCGTTATTTTACGTGGCTAGCTAATCTGGATTTCGCTATATTCGCTGCTACGTTTATATTCCGGAGCAATTGTTATTTTGCGCGAGTATGTCGGAGTAGAATGACTATCTATCGGTTTGATAAACACGCATCGAGATATATATGTATATGTAATTAATGAATATTTTTTTAGCAGCAGCAGTTAACGCAACACTCGTACAAATGTTTGATGAAACAATCAATTTTGGAGGGTTTAATAAGAGATAAATCAATTTTTTATATTTCTTAAAATAAAGATCATGTACTCCATTATAAATTATATTTCCTTTCATGTTTTTAAATTTTAAAAATCTCGTATATAATTTACTTGTGACTTTAATTTCGTTGCTTTTTAAAGAAGTTTGATCAATGCAAGTAGCCTGAAGATGTTCTTTTCTAAGCTCGTTCCAGTGGAGCGTTATCAGGTAGGGTGTAGTTTATTTTGAATCGAAGGATATCCCTGGGAAGAAGAAGAGGACAGGGGTTTTTACAACGCGGTCTATTATGTGCAATGTTTCACGCGGAAAATTTCTAACACGGAGACGCAAGTCTCTATAATTATTTTAAATGCATTTTCAAAAGAGCAGAGTTGTTTCATCTTGTACTTGCGGATTATTAATTGTTCTCACATATTTCTTTGTGCTGGAATTATTTTAGCGTTAGTTTCAAAGCGAAATATGTATTTTTTTTTTTTAATCCGAGAGTGATTGTTTATCGGATGCAACGATTTAAAAAAAATGCTGTAAATGTAAACGACGGTACTGAAAAAATGTGACAATCATCGATTACGGATCGATGTCGAGGACGCGCAGGACGAGAACACAGGCGAGCAGCGAGACACGTGTGTATGTGAAGCGTGAGACACAACGTGTTTGTGACGTTTATACGTGTTGATGCACTACATGTGCGAGAGACTCGCACGACGACGACGATGATGACGACGACAACGACAATGATGATGAAGACGACGAGGACGAGGACGATGACGACGACGAGGACGAGGACGAGGACGAGGACGACGACGACGACGACGACGACGACGACGACGACGACGACGACGACGACGATGACGACGACGACGACGACGACGACGACGATGACGACGACGACGACGACGACGTCGACAACGACGATATAACGTCGGTCTCGGGTTCTTTTCCTTCCTTTTTTATAGAAACGAAAAGAACACACACGCGAGAAGTGTACGATATCTAGAGAGGTGGGACGTTTGAGATAGTGTACGTTCGAGAGTAATTAGAGTGGTTTCGTAAAGGGGAGCTTTATTCATATATGATAGGTGGTAAAATATAGGAGGAGAGAAAGTTCTCCCGCGCGGACAACTAACCTGCTAGCCGCAAGGCCGACATTCTTTGAAACTCGGGCTCCTGCAGCCACTTCCACATCCGCCGGAAGGTCTCGCGGCCGCTCTTGAGCTTGGACCAGGGTTTCGGGTTGCGCAGCAGATCGCTGAGGGTGCCCTGGCTGCGACACAGCACGCGCTGCGCAAAGATCGCCTGGGGTATGCTGTACCTCTTGAGCTCGGCGCTGATCCGTTGCGCGAGCTCCTTCGTGTTAATCTCCTCGACTTCGCCGGCACCGCCGTTGCTCGCCGTCGAGACCGTCTTCATGACGACCGACGTGTGTTGCACGTGTTGCGTGTGCGATATCGTTTGCTGCTGCTGCTGCTGCTGCGGTATCGACTGCTGTTGCTGTTGCTGCTGCTGTTGCTGCTGCTGCTGCTGCTGTTGCTGCTGCTGTTGTTGCTGCTGTTGCTGCAGCTGCGTCTGCATCGTCGGGGGCGGCGACGCCGCGCTCGGCACCGAGTGCGTGCCGGGCGGCGAATGATGGGATGGCGCGAAACTCGCCGTCGCCGTAACAGCCGGCGGCGAGGACGGGCTGAGCGCCGCCGGACTCTGTTGCAACCTTGGTAAAAACGCCGGATCGTAATGCGGACTCGCGGACGATTTGTGCGGCGAGTTAAGGCCGCTCTGGCTGTACGCGCTTTGCGGGGACAACGGACTCGGTTGAAGACCCGCGCCCGGCGATGGATAATTGTGCGGCGGCGACATGCCCATCGACGGTAATTTGTCATACGCGTATGGCGAACCGCCCATCCCGAGGCCGATGTTACCCAGGCCGTTGTTCTGCATTACGGCGAAACTGCCGGTGACGCCGCCGGCCGCGTGACCACCGTAAACGAATTTGTCGCTCATCGTCGAGATCGGCGGTAACGGCTGCAGCGGCGTCAATGTGGCGTACGAGGAACCCGGACTGAAGCCGGGCGGTGACATCCTTTCCGCTACCGAGGTCAGTGTCTGATACGTCGGCTCCGGCTGCATCGCCCTGAAGTCCGTCGCGTCGATCATACTCGCGACCGACACGCTTATCCCGGACGTAGGCGTTAGCTTGCCCGGACTGAGGAGCTCCGAGTCGTCGGCGTCGCGCGAGTCCACGTCCACGTCCTGAGGCGGCACGATCACCGACAGGGACTCCCGCGCGCTCTGCCTGCCACCGCCGCCACTACTACTACTACCACCACTGCCACTACCGCCGCCGCCGCCTCCGCCGCCGCCACCGCTGCTGCCGCCGTTACCACCGTTGCCGTTGCCGTTGCCGTTGCCGCCACCGACGGCGCGTCCGCCGCCGCCGTCGTTATTGCCTCCGATTCCACCGGCACTGCCACCGCCACCGCCGCCGCCGCCACCACCGCCACCACCACCACCGCCACCGCCGCCGCCGCCGCCACCGCCGCTATCACCGCCACCACCACCGCCGATGCTCGGCGGATCCTGGGACGACGACAGATCCTCCGCGGCGGCGAGGTCTCGCTCCTCCTTGACGCCGAGCGCGCCAGCCGCGAGTAGTTCCAGCGGTAGGCTCGCGCACGCGATGTCGGGGCTTTGAGAGGCCGACGAAGACATACCCTCGACGCTACCTCCTCTGGTACCACCACCACCACCACCACCCCCGTTTCCACCACCACCGCCGCCGCCCCCGCTTCTACCCCGCCGCTTTCGTGTCCGACCTCGTGCTGATGCTGCTGCTGTTGATGGTGGTGATGGTGGTGGTGGCTGTGGTGGTGATGATGATGGTGGTGGTGGTGGTTGTGATGTCTACCCCCACCGACCACGCCACCCCTACCTCCACCTTCGCCGCTACCTCCTGCACCCCCTGCACCACCTCCACCGCAGTTCCCATTCGAGCCGCCCCCACCGCCCCGGCCATGCGTAGACACTGCCGCCGGGGAATCGACCGAGTCCAGTAATTGCTCGCTATGCGATTGATGATCGCCTATGTCCCCTATACCTTCCATTTACGCACATCTAGTTCGGTAGTGGGCGCACTGCCACTCGTTCCTTCGCTGTTGTTCGCCGACGACGACGACGACGCACTGTACCGCACCGTATACTTCGCACTGTTTACTTTTCGTTTATTTACAACAGTCGAGTAAAATTGTCGTTTTAGGGAGGGGATGGAAAGAAGAAACGGTTCCTCTCTCTCCTCCGCTATCACTACGTTTTGTCGTCACTCACGTGATTATTACCGCACGACCGCGAACGACGACGCGCACGACTTTCCCGACGATTGATGCTGAGATTCCACCGCGACATCGGTTCGACATAGCGAGTATCCGGTGGTAGCGCAACGACCACCGTGCGCCCATGACACCGCGCGAGTACGGAGCGAGTGAGAGCGCACGCTCTCTGCGCTCGCGCGCCCGAGTGCGAGCGCACCGGTGTACCGGCTCTCTTCTAATGGAAGAAACCAAGAGTGAGTGTGAGAGAGAGAGAGAGAAAGAAAGAAAGAAAGAGAGCCACGCGAGCGGGCCCAGAAGCGGTGCAAAGAGGGTCGGTTCTCTCGCTTTCGGTCTCGCTCTTTCCTAGGGATTCTTCCCGCCTTCTCCCCCTAACGGTCCCTACCCCGAATATCTCGCGGCTCACACTACCGGCACAACCGCCATCTGGTCTTGGTTCTACTACTGTTGTACTACTACTATAATACTACTGTTATTCCGCTCACGCGCTTCTTCGTGTCGCGTGCCACGAGTTCCTCTCTTGGTCCAGGTGTGACCGCGTCTCTGTCTTTCCCCTCCTCTTTCTCCTTTCCCCGCCACGTGTCAGTTTATTCGTTCGTTCGTTCACGGAGGGGAGTAATCGCTCACGCAACACCCGCCGCCGCCGCCACCACCACCACCACCACCACCACCGTTGTCACTATCACTGCACCAGCACATCGTCGTCGTAGCCGTTACTGTCGTGGGTACTTGCGCAGTGATGCTCTTTGCACCTTTTCTCCGTACAGTGGACAAGAGTCCGTCGTCCACGTGAAAGGGAAGATGTTTTGCGACGACACCCGTTAGTTTCTTCGCGCGCAACTTCGGGCTTCATTCACGACTAACCGGAAAATGGTCGTCGACGAAACAAAAACAAACGCAACGATCGTCCTCTTGTTTTCTCTCGACGATACTCGATAGAGAGAGGGAGAGAGAGAGAGAGAGAGAAGGTTATCCTCTTGCCCGGCGCGAATACAAGGATAACCTCGCACGCAGAGCGTCAAAAGTGACAAGAACCACTACCGGCTAAGCCACCACCATCAGAACGGCGCGTAACTAAGGGTGTGTAGGTGACACGGACATCTCGCCCGCCACCACCAGCACTGCCACCTCCAACTACAACGCCGCCGCCGCCGCCGACGTCGCCGCCGCTGGCGTCAGTCAGCTTTCTATCGATTTTCCGATACCTCGTGACCAACGTAGTTCGATGCGCGCGGCCGATACTTCGAGCATAAACATCGACTCGCGTCACCTGCGTTCGCTACGACCTCGACCCAGCGATATTAGCCAACTGACTAACGAGACTGCTTTCGGCCACGATTCGATTCGCGATCGTCCCTTGTTTATGTAGACTTCTTATTGCTTTCGAGGAACTTGTACACTTGTATATGAGATTTTTCTTGGAGAAACACTTTCGAAACAACTCCGGATACGTCCTTCGCGATCTTCTTCCTCGACGATTAGTTATATCATTCCGACGATCTTGCGTTTCCCTTCTCGAACTGGGTCGTCGACGTAACAGTTCGTAGAAAGTTACTTCCGCGCGCACAAAGTTACGTCTCGAGTGCACTTTGACTTTTCTTTTCCTCCTGAAAACTGTTCCCTTGATCGGTCAGGGTCTATTCGACAACGAGACTGATATCCGGTCGATCGCGGAATCGATACGGTCCGATGCGACTCGCAGTCTTCGTCGCGTGCGCGCGCAATCAAACACGAGAACCGATTCCTCTTCAGGATCGAAAGGTCGATACGCCGATAAGGCACGCATCGTCCTCCATGACTATTCCCGAGCTCTTCCTTTTTCCAAGATGTCGTCCTTCTCTCCCGTAGAGGCTGCGAGAACGAACGATCCGCAAGATAACTCGATCGAGCGACACGGAATCCGCGCGCACGCACACACACACCGGGACACAAAGGGGTGGTCGAGAGAGAGAGAAGAAGAGGGGTCGCTGACGATTGGTCGTGGCTGGCGTCGATACGGAGATCAATGGCCGCCCGCTACAGAGAGAGAGAGAGACTCTACGACGTCGGCGTCGGATCGACTCTCGATGGCCGCGCGCTTTCGATCGATCGGCTTCGACGGCTTGGTTCGATGGCGCACGACCTCGACGACGAACGGATCCTTGGCGAGACGACCGATCCTCGACTTCGATATCCGCGACTCGCCGATGCAAAACTCGCGCGCGCACGCTTAGAAGCGCGCCGCGCCACGATGCGTTTTCTTCCTCTTTCCCCTTCTCTCCTTCTCTCTCTCTATCTCTTTGCACCCTCGAGCTCCCTCGTTGTTCCCGATGTCGTCTTCGTGCTCCCAAATTCCGTCGCAAATTTCTTTCCGGAGGAATCGACTTCTTTCCGCAGAGGATGCAACTTGAATCTCCCTTCTTCCTTCTCTTCTCGAGATCTCCAGGTGCGGCAAGGATGATACACGAGGTCAAATCGTGTGTGGTGTTGTTGGGACACACGGAGAGAAAACGAGCGCGTCTCGCGCTCGCACGGAGTTGTGCGGAGTTGCGCAAATCGCGAATGCTATGCTACGCGAGAGCCTCCGGCAGGAGGGTGCCGGTCTCGCTCTTTCTCTCTCGACGAGACGGGCCGACGAAGCTGAGGAGCGTACAAGGGGGGTGCGAAAGAGAGAGAGAGAGGGGCGGGGATCTCGCCACGGGGATCTGTAACGAACTCGATACGCAGGGGTCGAGGAGAGGAGACGAGTCAGTTTCGGGGGATGAAGAGTGAAAGAGGAACACGGACGGGACAGGATGGAACGGGAACGGAGGCGAACGAGTCAGGGGTGGCCCACTCGACCGTGTCCAGCACCCCCGAACCACGCACGATGTAGTTTCCCAATTAAGCGACTCGGCTTCTGCTTCTAATATGGCTTCGCGTGTTTATTTTATCGATCGACGAGTTCTCCGTTTCGTTCGATCGATTCGTTTCCATTAAGAGTTGCATATCGACGCATTGTCCGCGTTATCGATCCGTCGATCGATCGACGCGCTTGTCATCGCACGGTATCTTCCTACGCGGACAATGTGCAAGGCGATGTCGATTCATTTTTTAACTCTGCTCTATGAATGTTTCTTTTGTAGAAGAAAAAATTGTCGATAAGTTGCATAGATGTAAATGATGAAACTCTCGTGTAACATTATCTTTTAATCATTCTTACCGTTTAAATATATCTTTCCTCGTTCTCCAGTTTGTTGAAATATTTTAGATGTAAAAGAGCTTGCAATTAGTGTAATATATTAAATGATTATTAATATTAATCGCATATGAAGATAAAATTGAAGATCGTCCTCTGTGGAATTAGACATAAACGATATGCGGGTTTATACGCAACTATTAAGGGATGGAACATGTAGAACTGTGTAATTCATTGATGGATGCGCTGGAATTACACGATGCGAGAGCGAAACGCTTCGCGTTGTTGCCTCGGACTGTTTGCTAAGTAGTTGCCAAGGAGTATAGCACATACTTTGAAACAAGGAGACTTATGCCTGGCGGTTCGATCCGCGGGAGTGCGTCAGATGCAGCACCGATGCACCGACCGTGGTGACCATTTACAATTCAATTCATTCGCGCAATTACAATGCAGGTGACTCACCTCTTTGATTCAATTCCACTTGCAGCATTCTTTTAAAGGATCGCGAACTCCAGTCCGGATTCCGCGGGGCATTCCTAAGTGAATTACTTAGAATTTGGTTCTATTTCGAGATTTAATTTTAAAGAGATTGCTTCTCTTCAAAAATAAATTCAAATCATTTCATTTGTCCGGGGCAATTCAAATTATTAATTTCAAATATTACACACATATACTTGAATGAATTTCTATTAAAAACGTAAAAATTTTATTAGATGTGTAAACAAAATATTTAAATTTAAAAATTTGTATTAGCTACAAATTATATTAATCGCTCATTTAAAATGCCATATTAATTAATATCGTCGAGCCATGAAGAAAACCGCGGCACCGCGCTAAGAAAGGATCGATCGATCGTGCGCGATCGAGTATTTTCCAAGTGCTCTCGCGGCTTGATAAAATTTCGATAAAACGCGCCAGCTGACACGTATTGCGAGTATCTCGATTCCGAGATTGAGATAAACTCGAGCGATGGAGAAAAACGTAACGCATGTACGGTGTGGAGTCTCCTCGAATATTCTCCGTGGACGAAATCCATTTGGGTATCAACGACAAAGTAAAATCGATATCGGCGTTACCTTATATCCGGCGTTCGAGTCGAACAGAAAGAAACGACGGATTAAAACGCAAGCGGATAAATTCGCTGCGTGATTAAAACGCTCGGCCAGATTATTTCGATACGGAAAAATAAATATTCAAAGGGGATGCGCGCGTGTAATATTCGTACATCGAATAATATTCCTTTTATTTATTCCGAAACTTATTATTCTGGATTTTTTATTTCTATTTCAATGTATCTAATGTCTACTTTCGTATAAATTTACAAACACACATGTACATATATATATATATATATACGTCCATTTTTATATAACGAATATTATCAAATTTGTATATAAACATATAATATAGTTTTCAAAATATATATAAAAAAATAGTTGTAGTTTAAAAGTCGTAAAATTCCATTGTTTTATCAATTTTAAAACGCAAGTTTGATTTTCCACCCTGCTTGTGCAATAATTTATGATTTTATTTACCCAAGCGTTGAAAATATTAGGGCTCATTAATGCCAAGATTTGACGGCCCTGGGGGTAGTTTCTCGACACTGAAAGTGGGGATTCCCGCTGACGACAGAGGAAGGGAGGAAAGGGCTGCGATGTAACGTCGATATCGCGCTCTATACGAGGCGTCGCGACGCCGCGAGTGGGGTGGTTTGCTGGCGCGGGGAAATGAGGGGTAAGGGGAGGTAAGTTTCACATGAGCAAAATAATCGATAGCGGCGACCGATATGTATGTACCGCGGCCTGTATATACGCGCGCACACGTGCACGCGCGACCAACCCCTTGCACGTTTAGGGTCGTTTCTGTGTGAATACGCGCGCACACACGTATGTAGAATACATATACCGCGCACGCAGGCGCGCGTGTCGCACGAATTCACGCGCGTGAGATCGATGAACAGCGGTGGCATTATGTGGGCTTCGACGACGACATCGACTTTCTCGCGGCAATCGTTGCTGCTGTTGTTGCGTCGCAAGATTTGACGTTTACGAGAAATCTCAACGATTTCGAGTCGAATCGAAAATTAGTATGGCAATTTCGTTCAAATCTCTAAATGGATTTAGACTATTTTCTTCTAACTAAATCGAATATTTATTTTTTTCCCCGATTATTTTTAGTGGATGAGTCAGAGCATGTCTGACTATATGCACGAAATATCTACTTACTAAAGTGGAAACATAAAAAATATATATGTGCAAAACGTTGTAAAAGCACACATTCATTTGAGCTAAATATAGTTGTTTCAATCGCAAGATCAGTTCGTAAATAATAGCGTGCTTCTCTCCCTCTCCTCTCTCTTTTAATGTTGCGACCCACTTTGCTATTTTACGATATTTTTACAATTTCCCCGAAATATCCCATTATCCCCGATAAATCGCGCCTTTTTGTTTGCAAAAATCAGCGTTTTTCAAACAAATAAAAATAAGAATAAAGAATCGAGTTAAACAATGAAAAGTCGATAAAGTTTTAATTATATAATTCATTGTGTTCCATTATTTATATACGCATATATCGCCAAAATTGACAAAAACATTAAAAGTATATTTCTAAATTCGAAAGTTAAGAAGAGGATTGCAGAGTATGGCAGACTGCGGGAGTTTTTTTATCCACGACTCGACTTTGAGCGCAAAAATTTCTATATCGATTAGCGAGGAGCGAAATATGGAGAAATTCGATCCGCGCAAAAAGATCACCGCGAATAATTTTTGCGTATTAATGAGCTCTTGATGTATCGGTTTTCTCGCTCGTCGTCCCGCGGAATGCAATTAAATCGAAAGGGAGGCCGCGGCCTTCCTCGATATCATGATATAATATATAACGACCATTCCTCGGATTAATGCACTATTTCGCGCGATGCTGCAATAAAGCGACATCTCGCTTAATAGATAGAGCTCGCTTTTACAAGAACGTAACCCGCCAAACGTAGAACGCAGGTGCGTAGTCGCGCGTTTTCCTCGTCGTCGTCGAGCTATACTTTCTTTAAAAATCGATATCTATAATTATTTCATCACTCGCTTTGTGCATAGCATTACGCTCGCATTATGAGACTCTCTAGACTCGGTTAGACGATCAAGAGAATTATTGCTAATAAAAGTAGTGCAACAAAGTTCTCTCTATAGTATAATTGATACTTTTTCCGTCATTTTTTATTCAATTAAAAAGATATATTATAAAACTCGAGAATATACTATAATTAAAATATAATTAAAGGATGAAGATTAAAGTTGTATATTCAGAAAAATTAATGACATAATTATCACAGTCTGATATTTCTCATATTACATTTCGTTTTCTGCAAAAAAAAAAAAAAAAAATTAAAATAATTTAATAGAATCATTTCAGTAATATTTAAAATTGTGTGTAGATATTGAAGATAATTAGATAAAATATACCTATCAAATTATTCGAGATTTGAAAGAAATTTATTTTTGGTAAAATTAAATCATTCCTCACATTTGTATTTAAGACGTATCTCGTGGATTCTCTCCTTGGCCGATATTAGGGGCTGCTACAAACATTTGTAGATTGTAGACGTCAGACCGTCGACATGAAAGTGCAGATATGCTATTCCGCGTAATTAACACAAACGACATACAGGCGTATTCATTGGCGTAACTAGAACAGCGTATATACATATGTATGTGTATATATATATATATATACATACATACACACACAAATAATATATATATAATATATATATATATATATATATATATATATATATATATAATACATAGAGGCGCCAATATATCAGAGACGTCAGTCTCTCTCTCCTTCTCCTCCTCGCCCCTATCTTTCTTTCACTCACTCAATAATTTTCAGAACCTTTAATAGTCCTTCTTGAGTCCTTCTACGTAAATAACACTCTATCAAGATAAAAGAAGAGAAATAACAAAGTTGTTTTTAATTCAAGTGAATTAAAAAAGAAATATATTTTTAAGTTATTAAGAACATTATTTGACTTATATAAATTTATTTAACTAATTTGTTTAACTGACAACTAAAGAAAAAACACAAAAACAAGATAAATAATTATTTAATGTATAATATTGTAAATTAAATTAAAATCTTTATAGGAATGTGATCTACAATATATTCTAGAAAATAGCGTCGTTTCTCTTCGCATTCTGATGAGATTTTATTTATGATAATATAAATGATCATTATTAATAAAATTGTCTAACTAAAATAACATTAACTTCTCACATTCGTTTACATATACTCTAATTTTGTTTGGGGGAATCGTTCTTAATTATATTCTAATTAAAACTCGTAGGAAATACCAGCCTTTCTCGATTAAATAAATAGTACTATTATACCATATTATGCATATGTATAATGTATAATATATATAGAATTCAATAAAATTAAACATTATTATGTAATAGAGCATTTAGATTGAAGCTGTACAACCTTGTTTTAAATCTTAAGCTTTCCACAATTGACCTACGAATTGTCGAATTGTCGAGATAACAGTTTGATCAGTTTCTTTGTTCTTTCTTTTCACTCATCAGCCAGTGGCCAACATATGATCGCACATGTGAGCGTGTATGATAGGGGCCGACAAGTTTAGGGTACCAACAGAGGAAGTACGGCGGGAAATCCTCTTTGGATTCCCCCCCGTGATGAAGCTCACCTGCCGCCAGGTGCGACTCCCAACTTCTTTGCCATCTGCATGAGGGGCCCGTGCTATGACGTGGGATTATTTCCTCTTTACTTTCCTGGATCGTGCGAGTGCGTGATTAACGCACGCGTACGCGTAGAATGTATACCGTAAAACTTAGCACGCGACCGCAGTCGCGGATGTACGTCATAGGGGACGAGCATGATAATGACTAACTGAATATGCGAGGTTACTTCGATCAAGTCAAATTCTATTTTTTTTACTTAATGTATAACATTAATATCATGAAAATATATAGTTATAAAATATATATACGCATATAATGATGATGAAAAAAATGTTCATTCAATTTTTCATACGTGTAATATAAAAAGGCACGTGCGCAAATATGTATGGAAATGTACATTTTTTAAAAATAATAAAGCACTAAAAAATATACATTGTAAAAAATTTTCTTAAAAAACTGTGAAAAAGATTTCTTAAACAACTTTCTTGCAGATATTTATGAATATTTCTAGTGATAAATTAAAATTTTATAATAAAAGAAAATAATCACCCTTTATTAAATTGTAAAATAGATTTGATAATTTAATTGTGATAATTTTTAAAATGTAAATACAGTAATTTTTTTCATAATATATTTTATTGCACAACACTTTATATTATATTATCTATACATTTATACACAAAATTAAAAATTTATTATATTTCCTTATTGTCAAACTACTTGTCAATTGTCATCATGAAATGAATGAATCGTATAATTAATCATATTCAGCACCGATGGTGATGCTCATATCTTTGGAAACAATTTTCGTCTGGTGATACCATCGATTCGTATCCAGAACAACTGTAATTGAAATATGGTATATTGATGCAAGAGATTGAAAATGAAGTACATACATCTAATAGTTAAGAAAGATAATTAGATTTTTAAAATATTCACATAATATAATTGTCTTTAATTTTTATTTTTTATATTAGCGTTTATCAAGTGACTTACTTATTTCTCCGGGATGCACAACCACTTCCAGTTTCTTACAAGTATAGTGACATTCTCTCGGTGGTGCTAAAATCCACAATTTTTCACCCTTTATCTGTGCTTGCCAAGAAGGATGCTCCACATCATCCACCTTAAAACATTTTATATTTTTAAAATACACGACTATGATGGTTGTATAATACATATAAAATTCAGTACGTATTTAACATAAAATACATAATCTACCTGTAAATGTAAATATATAAATATATACATATATATGTTAAGAAGAAAGTATAAATCTAAATAAATAAATATATTTAAAAAAGAAATTTTTTGCAAAAATTAAAAGGAAATTATTATTTGAATTGATATATAAATATCTGATTGAATAATATATGTATATGTGTGTTGCAATTACAATATAATAATACATGTACAAGATAATTAATAATTCTCTTTCATTATAAAATATTACCCATTAATAAAATTTTATAATAGAATGTGTTTAATAAAGTTTTTACGAATTATCCAATGAAGAAAATTATTTAATAATCGTATTGTCTTGTTACAGATTTACATGCATCGGTGCACCATAGCCATAGCTCCCCATAAAAATCCAGTCTGTCTTCTCGCTTTCGGCGGTGGCGGGAAGAAAATATGGTCTTTGATAATGCTGACGCAATATTGCGCCAATTTTTTCATCGCAGTTGCTCCTGAGAGGAAAAAGAAACAGGTAATCACAGAAAACTAAATATCTTTTTTACTCTCTCATTCAAAGAAAACAATATCATCAAATTTGTCAGATTAACGATATATTTTTTTATTAAAAATCTAAATGTAGTTTTTTTCGTTAATTTTGTTGTTGAACGAAATTGTAATGTATTTATTGATCAAAATAGTAATAAAAAATATACTGTATTCTTATTATAATAAAATATATAGGATCTTTCAGACTCTAGAATTGGAATTTGATTTTTTTTATATGATTTGATTACATGAAAAATGAATATTCAATTTATATTAATGCAATAATTTTTCCCTTATTTTTTTGCATTTTGATGAATATTTCAAATAAGAAAAAAGTAATTAACATTGGAAACATAAAGTTTGAAACAAAAAAATTGTTCACACATCTGTAAAATAAATAAATATTTATATATACTTACTCACTACATATTTAGATTCAGGCGATATTTATTCTTAATAACTTAATTTTTTGATAATATTAATAAATACTTACTATAATAATGTTCTTCAAACTACAATCGCGCGGAGTTCACTTGACAGCTGCATACAACTGTCACTATTAAATGCGATATATTGTATATAATATTATAATCATCCGATATTTTTTCGGTATTCTCGATATTACACGTATATTTGCAAGCGATATTTATTTTCAGTAACTTAATTTCTGGATGAAATGTTATTAATACTTATTTTAATAATACCTCGATCCTGGAACTACGATGGCGCGGAGTTTACTTGATGAAACTGTCGACATCTTTGCACTTTCGATATAATCTTGCATTTATATGCATAATAAAACAATCACGGTTATGTTTCTCAGTTTTTAGACAATATCCCGATATTTTTTCGACACTATCGACATTAATACAGATACTAATACACGTTTACTTTCAAACGATATTATTTAACCTAAACTTGTAACTTTGATGCAATGAGGCAAGCGACAACTAACAATAAGATATTATACTGCGATATATGTATACTCTATAGCGATCACAATAATAATAACGATAAATTGATTCTGTTTTTCCCGACACACGATATTCATTCACATTTGATTGATTATATTTACCACAAGTATCTTGACGCCACAAATAATTGCGCGCGACTATACTGCGCGCGCGGGAAAACCATTAAATATATCTCGATTTCCGTCTGTTCCGTTTCGTTCCGTTAAGGCACTGCTCTCCGATTGACAGAGATGTACTATAGACTGCAAATTAAATATGATTATCACCCAGTTATGCCAACTGCAGGATGTGAATTGAGCGCATAATTGACGCATTTTTATTGTGACGTTAATAAATATGATATATGTCTTATAGACTATATATTATACATAGATAGTACACTCATTGAAAGAAGATACAGCATAGTTAGTAAAAGACAAAGTTAAATGCTTTCCTTATCTAACAAGAAAAGAATTGGACAAACAATCGATTTATATAAGTTTATAATACATATATATGCATATGTATGTGCGTGCAGAATATATATTGATTATTGATAATAAAAAATTATTGTCAACTATTTTTACATATTAATTTATAATGTAATGATAAAAACAATAATAACAATGATAAAAATTATTTGCACTCTCCGTTCGATATACATATGTGCGTTAATTAAAAACGCACTCGAATATTTTTTGTGCTAAAATTGGCACGAGTGAGCGACGATTATATTTAATTTGTGTAGTACAAATTCAAAATTGCGGAAACGGACCATACAGTACGTTCTCGAACGGAAGTAGAAGTAAAATTGTCTCCGCGCGTTCATCTATAATGTATTTCCCGCCATTATTTATAACGTCGCGACGCTTCTTGTGCAGATATAATCGCGATCGAGCATCGTCTATCGTAATTAATATACTATGATCGATAGTCATAATTATGTCGCAGTGCAGTATTACGAATCACTTTGTCTCATCACATCTGAGTTTAATAAAAGTAAGTAAGAATAAATATTACTTGCGGAAGTGTCGAGAAAAATTATAGGATGACCGAAGCCTGGTGCAATCATAGCTCCAAGTAATTAAATACGCGTATTAATAAAATTATCGAGAATAAATATTGCCCACAAGAAAGCGTGTAAATTGAGTGACTGTGTACACATATATATATATATATTATTATGCATACAATCGCTGTTATTATTGTATATCACATTAATAGTGCAGACATACACATGTGATTTCAAGAGAACTTTGCGCAATCATAATTTTAAGCAGTGTGTTCTTAAATGTACGGTAATTAAAATTTTCATATTTAATAATACATTTATGCGATATTTCTAGTATGGAAAATAAATGTACGTGATGTGACGGAATTCTTTCTTCGCGATATCTTACATCTTACATATGTTTTTACTTCGATTCTCGGAACGCCGCGCCAAGCCGGGCGTTGTGGGCGAACATGTTTTATTTCACTCGCGCGTTCGTATCGCGCGTTCATTCTCTTTTTGTCTGCCACTCGCAGCAGTTCGTTGAAGTTCGCTCGCGCGTGATCTCTCTCGAAATCGCGTCAAAGTCAAAGTAGTGTCGTGTGTGCCGTGTTTAGCAGTTCGATACGCGTACGTCAATTTTAGTGTATCATTGCGATCGATAGCTCCGTCAATATATGTATATCCGTATTGCGTCGTTTAACTTCAAACGCTAGTCATCAAAGTCAGTCGATTCCGAGATTAGTGAAAGAGGTTACGTTTCGGGTGGAAAGGCAATGATGTGAAGTCGCGCGATTTCGACCTCTTATTCATTCTAGTGAGTATCGCGAGTGTCGAGATTATCTTATGATTTAGATTATTTGAAGTTGGCAATGAGCATCGCGAGTGTCGAGATTATATTAATTTTAATTTAAAAGTTGGCGAAAGTGCATCGCGAGTTTAAACATATAACCGACAGTGCGACAAGGCACACGAGAAGATATATCGTTTCGCATGATTTGTCTAAAACGCGAGTCTATTAAATATCCGGGAGTGCCGCGAATATTGTGATGATGAAGCGTTCGTCCCAGAAAAACTGGCAAGTACGATGCGTCACCGCAAGTGGTGAGTGTTTATCATAGATTTGTTCGACGAATTGTTTAATTTATTTGCGATGATATCGTTACTTGAATAGTAATAATCTTGCACTTTGGCATTCGTCTCGCGTTCCCGGTGAATTAAATAATGAAAAATAAAAATTATGAAAATATTATTTTTATTTCTCAACCTGTTCCCTATTAATTGCTCGACTATTTTAAATGGATATTTTATATTTTCAATTACAGATCGTTCTCTCTACAGAGGACTGCACCTGCATCGATGATTGGTGATGATTCGGTGAGTGAGTTTATATTTATGCAATTATGATTACTGATTTATTTTTCTGCTGTTTTTTATATTGTTGCAAATGTAACAATTTTCTGATAATAAAATATTAGTAATTATTATAAAATTGTTTTAAAAATGATGAATATTTATTTATTCATAAATATATCTTTAAATATTTCTTATTAATTGGTTATTAATTTAAAAAAAATTTGTTTTTGCATTTTCTCTCTGTTCGTAACATTTACATTTTTATTTATTATCTATATATATATATATCTAATTTTAAAAAATATATTTCATTAAAATATTTTATCTTATATTGTCGATATTAAGTCGCATTTATGTCACTTAATTTAATTTATCCGATGGGTAAGTCGTCAAAAATTATAAATTATAGAAATCAAGCAAATACATTTAGCGTTGATCTTTGAATTTATAGTACGCTAATGAAAATTTGCAAGAATTTAAATAGCCAGAAAAATGATTTTAATTATTTTATATTAAATATTGTCGAAGAAATAGCATAAAATATCTCTGAAAATTTGTTAGAAGAAAATAATTTGTGAGATTTGAGAAATTGAAAATTTATTGTGAATATTAAAAATATTAGTTCTCAAAGGCTTTTTTTATGAATTCAAAGATTAATTGCTACTTCTCTAAATTACTTACCATCCGACATACCAGGGCTTTGTGCCCTTTTCCATTGTGGCTCGACTATCGTTCATGTCGAAGACATCCTGCAGATTCTGAAATTCCGTCTTGTACGGGAAAAATTGGCAATTTGCTTCCTCTCCATAATATAGTGTTTTAAAAAACGAGAAAGAAAAGACTTTAGACGCTGTCCAGTTTGCCATGGCGTCGCTTATAACCACTGGTTTCCCTGAATATGCGTAGCTGATCACAAATAAAGTGCAATCGTGAAGAAATATTAGTCGTGCAAAAATAAAATATAGAATATTATTACACATTTTTATAATATAGCAACAATAAAAATAAGTAAGACAATCATTATTTGATGGATAAATTTTTTTAAATAGTAAAAATAAGGTTGATCAATTTTTAATTTATTTTAAGCATTTTTAACAAATACGTTAATAACAAATAGATTTTATAAATAATGAAAAAATATTTGAGAAAAATTTTAATATCAACATTTTGTAAGTAAATGAATATTAATCAAAGACAAATCGATATTTTATAATATATAAATAATTTTTTAAAATGAGAGCAAATTACGTAGAAATTACTGACTACGTAATAGTACCGTTGTTCGAAGATCGTTGGATCAACAGCGGAAAGCTTGTCAACCTGTTGAACGTCCTGGCAGATCGAACAATCTTCCGGCGGTCGGAAAACTTTTTGCGTAAACCAGGGCACCGTTATCAAGCACTAAAACAATGACTGTCTAACTTGCTGAAATCCATATCCATTATAACGAAATATAATTTTTAGTAAAAATTCTCATTTAATTTTGAACTTAAAAATTTTTCGAGCAAATTTAATTTTCGACAGTATAAATATGATTATCAATTTATTTATATTGTAAGCAAGTAAGTATGTCTTTGTAATTTATAACTTATATTTTACGTAAAGGTGTGTAGCATGGAAATGTGAAAATTAAAAATAGCAGATAATGTAAAATTTATCTCACCTTATTATGTCGATATGTTTGAACGCGATTGCGAGCGACTTGCATCGCTATCCATATGATCAACAAAATCCACAGGTGCCTCGCGCGAAGCTTCATTGGTTTCGTTGGTTTTAATCGCGAATGAACTCGAAGCAATCTCCATGCTTTAATTGAAAGCCTCAGCTCGTTCATTTTTCCCAATATTGCGCGCAATTCGTTCTTCGCGAGATCTATGGATTTTTTCTGGGAGTCCGCGACAGTCGCATTATCATTTGCCATAACGAAGCTTCGATAATTCTGACAATAATTTATCCTAATTAATTTAACATTAATTTTAACATTTTTCTAATACAGATCTGATCAACTTATATATAACTAATTATTTAGAATATACGCTGGCTTAATTAATTTTAATGTTTAATAAGGAAATTACAATTACAATATACCTTGTTGCTTCGAATAAAACTGAAAGACACAAACTCGCGATATTTGAACGATATGATGCTTGTAGCAAATTTCTAATATTTTTTGTGCGCAATTACAACAATTACGATTATTTTATATTTCGGAAGTACTGATACTCTTGATAGCCCGCGTAAAACTGCGAGCTGGATCCTTACCTGCTGCTCTAGCGAGCCAAGAATCCCCTCTCGAATTCGCTTCGTATGGGGGTGGAACAGCAGCGAGTGATTTGTTCATACGGGTGTGAAACGAGAATCGGTGCCTACGATACGAACCACCGATTGGTTTCGATCGAATCTGTTTAAAGCGATAGAGGAAGCGAGTTATTTCGCCAATGTTTAACCCATTTCTCTCTTACTCATTGTCAGTCAATTTTATTGGCGCAAGAAATTTTACAATGTTTGAAAATTCTTGAACTTATAATCTCTTGATGCGGAAAGATTTTTAAAAATCTAAAAAATAAATTTATCTTTAAGTTTTTAAAATATTTTTTACACGCAAAATTAAATAAAAATTTAATGCAAAAGGAATTTAAAAATAGGTGAAGAGAATAATAATTTGAATTAATAGGAAGAAAGAAAGGGAGGAAGAAAAATGAAAAATTAATGAATATTCGCTATTATTCTGGTTGAGTGGTCAAAAAATGAATCTTAAAAGAAAGGAAGAAAATATTAAGTCTAAGAGAATTATGGGATATAAATGTGACGCGTTTCATGGGGAATATGACGTGGACGAGACGCCTCTTATCTCAGGGTGCAGCTGGTCCTGCTCATCGAAGTGTATAGACTTCGCCGACTTAAAATACGATCGACCTACTTCACATTATTGCTTATACTTCATAACTTTCCGTACGACACAGAAACTTCTCTTACTCGGAAAAAATTGCGCGGGAAAATACTTGCTTTATGTGTATGTAGTAAAATATATATTTATATTTTTACTTTCAATATTTTTTTACTAAACAGTTATTTTCTCAGTTCATAAAAAGAAGAAAGAGAAAAGAGATAATTATAAATATCTAAATTATAGTAAATTAATATAGAAATTAGAAATATTTTATAAATGACCGTCGTAAAAAAAAAATCGCCTTTATAAAATATTTATTTTTATATATATATTTTTATTACGATTTTTAATTCAATACTTCAATAATAATAATAATAAAGACAAACCTTATCGCGCACATTTTTTCATTTTGCATTAAAATGTCGCTTCTCTGAAATTTTTTAACTATAGAAACATTTCATGTAGATTTATCGTCGGTCTGACCACACTTCGATGAAACTTTTCTTCGAAATTCGTTTTTCCGCACACGTGGAGACGGAACATGCGAAACAATTTCTATGCGATTGGAAACAAGCGAGTGAGATTCGCCTGATCGGGCGATACGAACGAGATGAGATTACACGTGAGGAACGGATTTTACAATTGCAAATTGTCAATCCGCACGGCAATCCGCGTCTTAATTAACAATTAGCCCCGCGCCGAACTAGTCTCGTTTCGTACGCGAGTTCGCCTTTTATGGAGTACAACTGAATAAAAAACCGCGTATCCGCCCTTACGTCTCTTTCCTTTTTTTTTCTCGTGCAAAAAGTACGCGACGAGCGATTCGCTTGCGAACCTCGTTATCTCGGCGACGAGGGTACTCGTCCGGACACGCAATAAAATCGCAATCGAAGGGACGAAAGTCAAAAATGCGATTACGTGCCCTCTCTGCGAACGTTTAATCCCTTAGACTGCGCTCGGTTTCTGACGAAAATACATATTTCCCCAACGAGCTTCAATTATTTAAACATACAATTCTTTGACAAATTTTTCACCTATTTTTCCCTCCATTTAATTTAAAAGCTGGAAACTTTTTCTATAAATTTGTATTCGTCGTTGATTTAAAAAAAAAAAAAAGATTAAAGACAGCACTGGACATGTATATTTTAAAAATATATGAAAACAAAATATTTCAATATATAAAAATTACAAATAAATCTTTGCATAAATAAATAAATGTATGTTTTACTTAATAATAAAAGTTATATAAGGATATATAGGAGACAAGAAAGATTGCAGGATAAAGAGACATATATATGTACACATGTCAGCGCAATTTAATTTTTTAATTGTTGTCAGTCGGATTTGAAATACACTAGTCGATTTTTATTATAATTATTATTGTATATACGTGAAACTCTTTCGAGAGATATAAATAATACAACGATAAAGGAATGACAATATATGCTGCCTTTTCTTTTCACACAATTGTCTCTTAAAAATTATACATATTACAATCCGTTTGAGTACTGCACACTCAATCGCATCGCAAACACATGAATAAAATTATAGCGATAATTTTTTATCTCCGGCGAATTTTTCCGGGGGATGAGACGAGGGAGAGGTTTGTTTCTCTATTTTTTAATTCTTAGCAATTTTTTTTCGCTTCTGTCGGAAGCATAAAATTGTATTGATTATAATTTATAATAATGATATATTCGATCGATGACAGTTGAGATTAATCATGACATTTAATTGAAACACATCGATAATCAGAACACAATACTCTATATGATAACGATTCTTTATGATATCTACTACTATACAAGGGTGTTATTATAAAACACATAACTGTACATTTACAGTCAATTAAAGTGCTCGAAATTATCGTCGAATATAATATATAAAAAATGTATACATATATATTTCATAATTTTTTAATTAAAAATATATAAATCTTGGAATTTTTTAATTTTTTGGTCTTTGAGTTTTGAAGTTGTTCATTTTTTCGAAATCTATAAATCTTGTACGCGTGTGTGTGTGTGTGGTAAATTCTCAAAAATAAAAAAATTTCTATACACTTTTGTGAATTAGATTTTCGAATTGAATAAACCATCTTATTTAAAGATTGAATCGAATTTAAAGACGCTTGAATTTAGAAATATAAGATTTTCGACAGATCCTCGGGTTTATAAATTTGTAATCCATGTATTTTCGCGAATTCAAGGTATTGCGATTTATTCTTAGAAATTTACGGATCTCGAGCACTTTAATTCTTGAATACTTTACGAACTTTTCATTCTACTTTCATAACATAAATATAACGATAATTTGCGTCGCAAGAAGATATTGCGAGATTTTCTTGGACGATCATAATATAAATATAACGTACATGACTATATGGAAGATGGATGATATCCTGATCATCGTGTGTATCGTACGTCTTTCGAATTCGCGTACAATGAATTCTCTCCCTCCGCATCCCTGCGCATCATCGCCTATTTCAATAATTAATACTAAACGCGTGGTGGGAAGGGAAAGGGTGAAGGTTTTCTAATACATCTAAGATGCACACCCATGCTTATTTAATGCTCCGTTAATTTAAATACGTATGCAGCACAGTAGACTATCATTTCTTCTATTCGTTAATGCGCGTGTTACATGTGTGTAATGGTATGTGTCAGTACGATTTTTTTTTTATATCTCCGCCCCTTCCTTCTTTTTTTTCTTCCTCTCGCTTTCAGTTTGAGCTTAAATGATCCTGGATCGGATCGTTGAGCTATTTAAAAAACATTCTTCTCATGTCGCAGTTTTTTCATCTTAAATCGACATAGCATTGATCGAGGCCAGCAGCCTTTTTATCGTGTATAAGAATTCTTATGAGATACGAGATGAGATATATTCGGCTCTTCGCGTCCCGTCTGTCCATTTTTAGTCTCTAAAATTGCGATCGAAATCGGTTTAATCTCCGCAAGATCAAATTTCCTCGCGCGATAGAAATAAACGATCTCTGCGCGCTTATTCGAAACGATGGTAAATCTTTCCGTTGTTTATAACATTGGAAATTGAGTTAAATCTCCGAGTGATTACGATCGCGATTCCTCAAATCTTTCATTCCGATCCAGGCTTCAAGGAAAAATGATAATGATCGCTCACGATTTATTCTTTTTTTTTTTTCTTTTCTTTTATTAATGCTATCAGTCTTTCAAACCGCCAGCGATATGACAGTATGATCGCAATCGGTAGATGTGTGGAACGACTCGATCGGAAAAACGAAATGCTGTAACACGATACGTGTTATTTGTAGAAAATGTGCGGATAAAGGAACGTAAAGAAAACTCATCCGGATAAAAAATGTAGAGAATTTTCTTGTTCGAGAAATTCCTGTAAGTTTATACCAAATGTTCTTTTTTTTTTTTAGGCCGATGATTTCTTGAGCGGAATTGATCAGAGTCCCGCGCGATTTTTAATGTAATTATTTAAATAAAAAAGAATTCTAATTATTTTCTACAAATCACTGCGTGCTTGATGTCGAAATTCGAAGCGACAGATAATTGCGACGGACGATCGCGGCTTAATTAATTAGGTCGTTATTTTGAGAGATGTCAGAAAATCAACATCGCGCGAAACTCAATTTTGATCCTCCCCGCACGACTAAAATTCGCTGAAATAACAAGAATGTACGAATCAGATAATCGAATCGATATACATATAGTTAAATGATTCCGAGAAATAGACAGGTGAGAGAATAAATACCGCGATGTCCCAAATCGGTCGAAATCGATGGACGATTTTGGGAACCACTTGTACAATATTATATGAATCATGAAGAATGTATCTCATCTTTGGTTTCTATGAATAACACTCGACAAACATTATTTTTCACTGATAATTATTATTATGATTGTAAAAATTTTCAAAAATTTGGAAATACATTATTTTATTTGAACATTTTAGTATTTCATTTAAATAATAAAATTTGAAAATGAAACAGTATATATTTCCAAATTTTTGAAGACTTTTTTAGACTAATAATAATCAAAAATATGAACCAATTAAAATTGAAAGAGAAATATTATAAGATGAAGATACTGCGCGTATCAACTCTGCTTCCTTGCTAGAAATCGATATTAAAGTTTAATCGCGTCGAGAAACAGACAAAAATGGACTATTTTGCTCATAAAGTCCCATAAAAACTGCAGGCTGAGTCGCAATATTTACAATTGATGGAACTATCGAAGATGGAACGATTACGCATATACAATATGCATGAATAAAAACGTGTGTATCCTCGTAATAACAATTAATTTTTGCATTCGAAGATAATGATAGACGATGTCAAAATAAAGTTAAGCATCATATACCTATATAAGGTGTCTGAAATGTCTAAGAAGGTGTATACGCTAAAAATATATAACATTAAAAATTGTTAAAAATCGTGAATTGTGTTTATATGTATACATAAACACGCTTGTTAAGTAATTTCTATTACAAGTTTCTTGAAAGAATTTAAAAATAATACAGACGTTCTGTATAAGCCTTGGAAAGTGTAAAATAATTACAAAATTTGTATGTCGCATAAGACTTGTACGATTATCGCCCTATATTGTGCACCGAGAATGAAAGGTGTCATCCTTCCATAAACGGTTTATACAAACGTGAATGACTTTACGTGCTAAATGAGCACTTGCAGTCGCAAGGCCCAACAATCGGATTCTTTTCGGACGAGACGTGGCGGCGAGATAGATAAGCGATTGAATTCACTTTTGCTTGCCGTTTTTATTATGGATGTTCAATAGGCGGTCGATACTTCCGGTTGTATCTTCCGATAGCTGTGCTATCGATGAAAAACGATATTATTCGGGTTGCAGGAATTTTTAAACACTATCAAGCAATCATTAACTTCATTATTGTATGTCACTTTTTTTCGGAAAATAGTCGTATATGAAATAATACTTTGTAACCTGAATATTTAAACGCTCTGTTTAAACTTTTTATTAATCTTTAACGTTCATTGACTGTGTTATTAACCATTCTGTTGCAAAGTTTTGAGATTTATTTTTTATATAATTTGAAGCATTAAAGTGTTTATCAAGTTTTCTCTATAAATAATATAATAATATAAACAGATATTAATTATTATTACTACGCGATTCAACGTAGTACATATTTGACAACTTTTCTATATATATGTATATGAATTATATATAATATATATATGTGTGTATATGAATGTGTGTGATTCTCAACAACTGAATATTGTATATTAAAGTATATAATATGCACTTAATAACACTCATTGATTCTTTAAAGATTTCAATATACTATATTTGATACATAATATCAACTTTTTCTCTAGAATCGCGTGTGCAATATAATGTCAAGTATATGTTACCATTTAATATAATTACAGCCGACTGTCAGTTTAAAAACGTCCGATTGTTAGGTCTTTTCGCGATTGAATGCGCATAATATATAATAATGCGAGGATGTCAAAAATGCGATAGTGATGTCTTCATCTTTTTTCAAGGCCTGCCCTTCCAATCCAAATTGAAAGGATTGTCCCTATTTGAATACTAAAGACTTAATCCGACAATGGTATCATGTCGTGAAAAATTAGGTCATCTCCTTTTTCAATTTCTGCGATATGTGATTAAAAATAAAAAGCGAAGAAATAAGATAAGTTTAATGAAATTAGTTTTATAATGGAATTATATGTAATTACTTTAGATATAAATAAAAATATATAAGACGCATTAGATATAATATAAAAAAAAGGAATAATGAAATGTAATAAATATAATAAAATTACGTATTATTTAAATATATTGCATTTATAATTAAAATATAAAGATAATTATATAAACTCTGAAATTTCCTCTTCACGTATTATTTTTATTTTTTTGTAAATTGCTTAATTGTGATCTACAGATTTTAATTGTGATTTATAAATACATTGTAAAAACTCAAGTATAATTAAGAAAAATAATTAAGAATAATTAAGAAAAATTAAATTATATACTTTGCGATTTTTTTGCAGAGCGAAAGATATGGAGCAAAAATATATTCATTGATACCATTGTCGGTTTAAAAGTGATAAATTATCGTGTTATTCGCCACATATTCGTATAAATTCTACGTTTTTTATGTCGCTTTGTATTCAATCCTGCAAAGTTGTTTTCTTCTCTCTTTCTCATTATTCGTTAAATATTTTATTCGAAACACGCGACGTTTATATTTTTATAAAATCGCCGGAACAGTGTTTTCTATGTGTCCTTAAAAGTTGTCTCGGCTTCCCCTTTTCGTCCTTTTCTTTCTACCTTCATTTCTCTGTATTTCGTAGAAAATTATAAACGCCGGAGAGTTACGCGGGATACAGTAGTATACACACAAAGAATGGAAAGCGGATATCAAAACCTCGTTTTAGCCATTGATCAATCGATCGATCGGTAAATCTCAATTGCCGTAATCTTGACACTCGTGCTACTCCAGGGAAAAATCTCGCAGTGCTTTCGAGTTTGAAAATTAAATTTTCAAAAATCTTGAAACGCGCGTTAAGATCAAAGAGATGTTCATTATTTTTGCTAATAAATAAATATAGTATAGAAGAATTATTGATAACATTTGGTAACTATTTTAATAAAATATATACCTATACAATATTTGTAAGATCGTAATTATTGATTACGAGCGTACAAATATTTGGTCGAATTGGAGCTGGCCTGTTCGTCGAATATTCAGGTATCAATTAATCTCCCCGACGGCGACAACGAGCGCTATAATATATTGAGACCTCTAGAACGCGACTCGCGCACGTGGACTTTGCATAGCACGATGTAGTATCAAAATTCATAGAAACGTCGAAGTCCATCCATCGCATGCACCTTTTATCGCAAGTATTCGGTATAAAATTCTACAAAAACATTAGAGTCAAAAATTCGCGCACGATCGAGGAGACAAATATACGCTAGAGTAGTTTGTCTGACTCTTTGTCATCATGTACACACATGTATTATATATATTGATTTTTATTCTTTTTCGACATTTTTGACACTCGAATGCACGCGAAATTTCTTACCAGCCATCAGGATGAATGTATATATATATCTACTAATTAATTTTTAATTGTATACATACATGATTCCTGTGAGAAATCTACGATAGTATATTTTTGCACATGTAAATTTTTCTTCAAAGATTCATAGATTTTTAATAAAAAAAATGTCGATTATTTAAACAGGAATTTATATTATATAATTAAAAAAATATTTCTTTAAATTAGCATTTATACATTTTTGTTTGATCTTGCACATAAAATTTCTCAATAATGATTTTCATAATACCTATATCGAATTGAAGTATGTTCGAAAGCTGTAAAAAGTTTGATTTGAAATTTTAGAAAAATAGAAAAGTTTAGTGAAGAGAATGTTTGCTCGAATGAATTGTCTCCAGGAGAGAGAGGAGCGAATGAGTGCCGATACGATCGATCGACCTCGAGACTGCGTCTCGCTGCCAAATGGTCCAAAATCTTCTAAGGATCACGCCAAGTATCGGTATATAATACGTGGCACTTGCTAAAAATCACGCTGTGTTATCACGAGCGCAACGGATCTGCTAGCCAGTCCGAGCGAGCGATAAGCTCGAAGGTTCCTCTTCTCTCTCTCTCGTCTAACCGGAGAGAGACAAGTCAGTCAGCTCGTTCGAGAGTATGATCTCATGATTTTTCAACTTGCGCATAACACGTGACATCCGCCCGTCGTCCGAGATGGAAATGATCGTATGGAGTATAGCCCCGTTGTGATGTTACGGGATATTGCTTTCCAGAGTATGTCCAGATTGTTTGTTCGGCAACTTACTTCATTTAGTCGAACGAAAAACTCGGAAAAATTAAAGCGAAGCGAACGGAAAAATTAAAGCGAAGCGAGAGATACGAGAAGATGAATCGCGTAAAAGGATTGCATAAATCAAACTAAAAATTGTAATATATTTTTATTTGGAAATTGCTAAAAAAAACCTGCTTTTTAGCTGAAAATAAGGAAAATATATATTTTGGATAATACCTTAAAACTAAAATGTACAAGTTTTCGAATAAAGAATACACGGTAAATATAAGAATAATAAATTAAACAGTTTTACTCTTCATAAAATTTGATACGCTTTTTAAAATCTAAAAAGAAAATAATAATTTTTTAGATATAACGCGTTTGGAAAAAAAAAAATATATATATATAAACGGCCTATATTATGTATATCGAATATAATAATTATCGAATTATATTCTCGCGAATAATATGTGTATATATATCTTCTCCTAAAAATTTATATAATACGTGTATTATAAATGCTATTAGATAAAATCTTCGTCGAAAATTTGTCGTGCGGTAATATAAAAATACTGTACAAAAATTAAATTAAGAAATAAAATTCACTTCTCTATAAGCTCACACCAGCATTTCCATTTCTATACGTTACGCGGATGGCCCTGTTCAAATTTCTCTGCGCTCAATTCCCCTCGAGAACATCGCCACGAAATAAAGTGCGTATTATGTGATAGAATAACGCTCTTCTATACAGTCGTCCTGACTATCGACAATCGTCCTTCTTGACATAATCAAACAATCTCGTTGTGTGAAATTTATTAACTCGACAATTAACAATGAATGCTAATCGAAATTAAAAAAAAAAAAATCGCATTTTTAGAATGTCAATTTTTATATTAAAATATAATTCAGAATATATATGTAGATTAATAAGTATTATAATTTCAATTATAATGTAATGTAAGAATTTTTATTTCATTCAGTTTTTTTCCGCATTATATTATATAATAATATAATATAATCCTTTTAAAACCGCGATTTTTTATTCTGCGACATCACGTTTTAATCTTCATTCGATTTCCTCGTGAGATGGAAAAATGAATTTCGTCATGACATTCTATATCAATAAGTTTTCAATTAAATAATTGACACGACGAGAAAGGTTGATGATCGGTAGACGATCGTAGTCCGGCATGATTTTCACGGAGAGAAGCTATTGTTCCATCGTGCCTTTCTCTCTGATCAACTGTCGTAATATTATTTTAAGAAATAGAGAACAGGGATATATTTTATATCTATAATATGTATATCGACTAATTAATATGCCACCTCTCGTAACCATCGAATAACGTTAACATAATCTCTCACACGCACACACTCTCTCTCTCTCTCTCTCGTTATACTCGCATGCGATATTGTGGCTGCCGCACGTGTTCATGGGCTCGACGTACATTGGTCTCGCGCTTGCTCACTAATTATACCTATGGTAATTGTGTCATTAGCAATAGTAATGGCTCTCGGGCGCCACTGATCGATCGCGGATTGCGTTCCAGGACAAAATGTCAAGATTCACAATTATCACGTCATGTGAGTTCGCGTGTTCTATACATTATGTATTAAAAATGTATCAATAGCGTATTAAAAGCTTTGATAATTATTAATCAATAATGTTACTATTCGATTTATTAAGATCTTTTCTGGTTTATATTTTCGTTTGCTTTATATTTTGCCATTTGTTGGTGTTTACTGAACAATTGATATACATATGCATATATTTTGTTATTTATTATTAAGATGATTTATGTCTAGCGCAATGGTACGTGAGATTTTCGAATTATCAGAAAAAGCAAAAAGTATGATATGCTTTTTACTAATGTCTCCGATCACTTTTATAAATAAAATATATAAAATAAAAACTTTACATAAAAATAAAAAGGTACGAAAAATATATATATAAATATACCTTTCTTCTCTCTAATATAAAAGATATCATTTAAATATTTATGTCGAATAATTTAAAAATGCTCTAGTTTTTCTTTCTTTTTTTTTTTTAATATAAATAAGATAAAACATCTAACACAATCGTATCTATTCAACGATACAGCATGACTGATGAGACATGATACGCGATAACAATGTACGTCTCTACCTTAACACGTGCTTTTATGCACAATTTTGATGCGCACGAACAGAATTCATACTTTAAAAGTGTATTCCCTAAAGTCACACGCGTTTTGCAAAAGTGCAGCAGCTCGTAATAAATCAGCATCCTTGTGCCACACCCACAGCCTCAAAAGTTTACATAATACAGTCATATACGCTAAACTCTATATGCCAGTGTGTCGCCAGCATATATATATATATATATATATATATATATATATATATATATATATATGTTCGTATAGTTTATAATAGGCGCACGCATACGCACGACGATTGGTGGGCATTCAAGTATTACAAAGAAGCAAGTGTGCAAATGCAATCTTTCTTATAATGGTAACGGGATTAATTATTTATCGGTTTTTACGATATTTCTTCATAATTACGCTAACAGAGGTATATCCATTTTTCCCTTTAACTTAAATTGCCATTCTTTCGCGGGAATTGTAATAAGAGCCATCGGACCAATCCAAATTCACCGAATAATTACAACAGCTATTGAATAATTTATCGTCATCATGATTATAATAATTATCGAATAATTCGTCGAATGACACTGTAATCAGTGTCCCACGACCGCGTTATTCAATTTATTAGTCCTTCGCGCGTATATGTTCTACGGAAAGGAATATATATATATGTATATATCCCCATAAACTATCAAGTTGCATAAAAAATCGCGGGTGATCCTTTTTTCAAGTCGCTTGTCTCTCTCTCTATCTCTTCCTTTATTATTATTTTTTTTAATAATGCTTACATAGACACGTCTATTCTTAGCACCTTAGCCTGTACTTTGCGATGATCGGTATACGCCCTCTTTTATCGCCGCTAACACCACCTTAAAATATACACTTATACGGTTCTGGTGTTTGTGTGCATGTGTATATATGTATACGTGTGCCGTATGTATAATATATATTTACGCAGTTATATATATTAATTTAGAATTGTGCAATGAAGGTATTTAGAGCCATTAGTGCGACTACTGCTGCGGATGTGGTTGGACGATGTCGTTCTCTTTCTTTTTCTCACACACTCTCTTTCTTTCTCACCCTCTCTTTTTCCTTCTCCCTCGGTAATATATATCGAGACTGCGAATGCATTTAATGCATTCTCACGTTTGCCAGTTTTTCGGTATAAATTCGGTGGGCACGATTCGTTCGTTCTTTGCTCCGTTTCGATTTGAAAAACATTCTCGGAGAAAAATGCGTTACCACAGTGCTGTTTCAAGGTCAACCTAAGCTTCTCTCGCAATTCAAGTATACTTAATCGAAGTGTATTCGAGATGTTTAATTTATCTCAGGCACGAGCCTTTTTAATCTCAACCCCCTTCTCCTTTCCCAGCTATTTCAAGTCCGTCCCGTTATAAGACGATGTGAGAGATCGTAGAGAAAGGGTTGCTGCGTCCTTGAAAGCAAGACAGAACGATCGTTCACGTATCGGATTTTCAGATTAATCAAAAGCTTCCGTTTTTCTATCCGAGTAGACTGTCTATCTTCTAATCTACTCGTCGCATACGTGCGTATTTGTGAATTTTGCGAGTACTAAAAAAGATACTAAAGCACAAAAATTTTTTTACAGCGCGATATACCTTCGTTTTTCAATCCCTATATTCGCTCGTTCGTTCGCTCATCATCGATTCAATGAAATCTCACCAGCTGCCACTTTATATATACATTCTTGTTCATAAGTTATTTTCAATTTCGGAAATGAATGTACATTTCACTCTCAATCTAATTTGAAAGTTGCCCCTGTCATCCTAGTTTAGCTGCCATTCGTCATCTCTTCAACTAGATGAAAAACTCGGTCGAAACCGCGTCACCTTCGAAATTCCTCCTAATTGTAACATGGACGTTTATTTCCAACGACAAAGCGTAATAATAATATATCTGGCATTTTCTTTCCCTTCCTTCGGAAACGCATTTCCTCAACACACTTAAAATTACTTTCGCATTCAATAATACTCGCTCTCAATATAACATATTCCGAACAAACGTACTCGAGTACTTTCATTTTTCTCCGATTCTTAGCCGGTCTTTTTCTCCGAACATCCTGCACAGTGAATGATTTTCTCTATCTCTCGCAACGTCTTCCTCGCGAATAAATATAATCCCTACATTGCAATCCACGTGTATACTCTCCAGAGAGTCCGTGTCCTTAATAATACTTGGGGGAAAAAACGCGCGCGATCATCCTCTTAAGTAGTGAAAATTTCGGGGATAAAATTTCGTCCGGTTGTTCCGCTACATAGATAGGTGCTCGAGATTCCTGGCTCGATCCTCCCGGCGGTCCCGCGTGGGACCCGCTCTAAGGGCGCGTTATACCCAGGAGTCGCCGGCGGCGGCGGCGGTCGAACTCGGCGGAGGCACTTGATTGGCCACCGTCGCCGCGACCGAAGGGGCGCCGGTGCCATCCGGTACCAGGCCGACCCCGTCCGGTACCCATTGTCCGCCGCCGCCGCCACTTCCGGGTATCGCGACGCCACCACTACCACCGGCGACTTGACCCACCTGGCCACCCTGGCCCACCCCAGCTCGTACTGCCGCTTCTTTTTCTTCTCCAAGTTAACTTGCGCGTAGAGCGGCTCACCGGGTTTCGGCTGCTGCAACACACACAAGCCAACGGTTAGCCACGGACTGCTGCCGGTCGCGAGGGGGTGGGCGAAGGTGGGGGAGAGAATTTGTCGAATCTTCGGACGCTGAAAGAAGCTTAGACATTTTCGGGGATATTTCGTGCACAGTGCACTCTCGATCGATTGAGGTCAAAAATATATTCTTTTATCCACGAGGTTATCATTTTTCGATCAATTATCCCTTTTCGTAAACATGATGATCGAGAGTGCATTGTAATGTCTAGGCAAAATTACGTGAAGATGTGTGATATGTGGCCTTTATTTGCAGTTAGGTATATATAGAGCTAGCTAATATACATATTTTCAAGTATTTTTTTTTTTTTATTACACTGCGCTTTAGTTTATTCGGCTAAATACAGAATATAAATGCTCCGACGTGAGTAATGCATAGATGAGATACACATGATATAAAGATACATATGGAGACGTGTGTGTTTGCTATAAAATTATATATAATAGAATATATAATGTGCGTAGCTTTTTTCTCTTACGTGTGTGATAAAATATATATAAATAAAATTTTACACATTAATATATTATCTTTTATTATATTTTTAAGTCTCCAAATTTTCTATTCTCTAATAGTCTTAATTCTTATGTCATTGACGAGTTAAAAAATTCGAAAAAATTTTCAGAGGACGTTATACTACATATATTATTTTTAAAAAATAAATTTTCATACAAATACTGATTGGAAGTTATAAAGAGGACAATGTATCTAAAAATCAAGATACTAGTCTAATCCTATATGGCGTTGCATATATAGCATGTTTAGTCATATCAATTATAAATCTGCGTATTTTTAACTTACATGTATTAGTACTTTTCTAGACTTATATACAAAATCGGATATACAATAAAGAGATTCATAGATTACATAATAATTTAGTTGTAAATATGTGTTATATTTCGCTAATAAAATATAACTAAACATTAGGGCACTAAAAATTCATCGTAAACTGAATTCGCTTTCTAATTCGAATATTTTCGTGTAATTTATATATTGTTCGCTAAAGATTAAAATATTATATAATTGTCATTAATGTGTGAGGTGAAGGTGTTCGTTTAGGCAGTGATTTCATTAGTAATTTTTTATTGTTAGTGTATAATATTGTGCGTTCCTTTCGGAGACAGAAGTGTACAAAATGATAAGAATACATTCTGAATACCTTCGCGCTTTAGACCTATAACCATTAATAGTAACATTGCGCGGTACGTTTCTAAGATTATATGCGAGATCTCGTCTTCTCATTTTGTAACTAACTTAATTAGTAGTTGGAAAACTGTTATTAAAACTGTGCAAAAAGTTTCAGCGTTTAGAAAGTGACTACGCGACGTTATTAAAAAGGGAGTTTGGTCCAGTTTCATGCGGTAATTCGTGTAAATGTTGCATAAACATTATGTAAATTCTCGTGCAACCAGATTCGCATTCTACTAAATATTGAACGCGTTTTTATATATGGTGGCTAATTTAATTTTTAAATGTATAGTAACGTTTATTATTAGAAAATGTTCACACGCACGCTCTAGTGTATACAATTTGTTTTTTTCCTTTTTTTTTTTTTCATTTATATTTAACAAAAATTTCGACAAAAATAAAAATCTTACACAAGATGTAAAATATCAATGAAAGTATAGAAAGACAGTCATTGACATGGATTTCTCAATTAAATTGTGTAAGATGGTATCTTTTAACAAATTACAATTACAAATTATTACATATTTAGCTAAAAATTATATAGTGACATTCATTTGTTTTGGCACAATTAATTGCGCCAAAAATTACGTCGATTTCTAAATGGTTTTTATCACGTCTGCATAATACTTTACAAATCTAAGCAGAGTTAAATACGATATAAATGTTTATCAATGCACGATATATCCTGGGTGTTTGAGGAAGTGATGTCGAAAAACTACGGTTCCATTTAAATCTTATTTCGTAATGATGCATGAAAAATGTGGAAAAACTTATGATGGCAACGAATCGAATAATCGAGATGAATAGAACAAAAAAATTATCATCTAACGCAGTATATTAAAATAATAATCAAATTTACAATATATCATTTTCGAAGGTAATAATATACACAAAACATTTAGAACATAATAAAATTAATAAAATTTTTGTGTAAGAGTGCGAGTGTTGTATTAATATAAAATTTAATTAATTTAAAAATTGAACAGTTGTGTAGCTATAAATTTTTAAACGAATGTTTTTTACTATTTGTTAAATATCAGTCGATGTAAACTTTTCTTTAAGACCGGCGATTTAACTTGCATATTATATGCACGCATATACTTTTATCGATAGTTCTATGCTATATTCTCTCTCTCTCTACATGGTGTGTATTTATATATTTAATGATGCTGTTAATTATTATTAATTATTATTACTTACTGATTGATATATAGTAGGTCGACCGACATTATTCGAATTCATATTTGCTCGCTGAATTGTTCGATCCTCGTATCTTGTGCTTCCCTGGCTCGCCATTGGTCGATTCAGAGTGCTGCAATCATAACTGTATTTTAACGTAGAATCGAGATGGTCAAAGAAATTTTGTGAAGAGACTCCACGTAATAAAAATAAATAAATTTGGAGAAATAGAAAATCATAAACGAAAAATAAGAAAAGCGGAGTCTCAGAAACAAAAAAGAAACAGAAACTAACAAAACAAAATTAAATGAATTGAAAAATGATACGTAATATAAGTAATGTATAACATCTTAAAATTCTTAAATAATATCGCGATTTTGAAATTTTTAACATTGCCGAGACAACATTAAAAAATGAAGTCTATTAAAAAATATACAAAGTAATATATAATAAAGGATATTTAAAATCAACTTAAAATATTATTTTTTCAACTAATCGCACGATTATTTTATATTATTATTTCGATATTTAATTATTCATATAGATATGTGCTTTTTGATCATACTTTGTTTATATATCTAATTTGATTTATTTTATGGGCGATAATTACCTGTTAGCGTTATTGGGTGAATTAGGCCCTGAATTTCTGGCCGCGACGGTTTTCGTAACGAAATCTTGCTCCTTCCAACCATGCTTTTTATACACATCTCGCAGTTCTTGATGTTGCCACATGGTGAAGAGTACTTGTCCTAAAATATATATAAATTGAATAATTTTAATTAATAAATGATAATTACAAGTGATTAAAATAATTATTTATTAAACTTATATATGTATTATCGGAGAATTATCTGTCAGTTGACTTTCGAGCTCGGGTTTTACCTGCAAATTTTAGAACACGTGGCGTGTATTTCTGGCGTTGCCTAGTGATGTTCATTAGTCTGTCGACACCGCCGGCATCGAGCAATGACCGCGAGAACTCGGCGTTTTTCTTGATGACCTCGTTCAATGTGGCGAGTACCGCAGCGATCGTGTCGTCACTCGTGCCCTGATCATGCTGATTATTTCCAGACGGTAGTTTCTGAATGAGATCCCTCATCGCGTACTTGCCTATTAGTTCCTTATTGCGTTGGTCTATCGCCAAATTCCGGAGTGCAGTCGCGACAGCGCATACGACTCGGTCCACCTGGCCGCAGAAATCATTTCAGTGACTAGTCTAAATTTATTTTCGGAGACAGGATCAAATATACATTTTGAATCATTATTATCAATCATTTTTATCGGTATAATACCAATATAATTACGATATAAAGATATATAAGTGTATATATAAAATGTATAAGAAATTTTTATCTGTGTAGAACGATAGATATTAAATGATTATCATACACGATATAAATAATAAATGAATAATTAAAATAATATTTAATAATTTTATAGAAAAGTATTTCGATTTAATTTTAATTATTGATTTAATTTACAATTTCGTGTACGTGAATGTATATATAGCATTTCAATGATTTGAACTTCCTACATATATTGTATATTGCAGTAATAATATTCGATAAATTATACCTCCATTCTTAAGAGTTCCACTAATATAGGAAGGCCCTTTTCTTTGCGAACAGCTGCGCGAATTTCGATACTCGGTTGCCAGTAACAGGCGGCGAGATTTTGCAAGGCCCCGGCTGCAGCCTCCAATGTTTCCGGATTCGAACACGTTTGCAAAAGATTGAGATACGACGATACTACTTCCGGTTGCCAGAGCAATTCCATTCCTCTGACTGGTTCGGTTCGCGGATTTGTCGTGCGTGACGTGGTGGTTTCCTTTTGGACCGGTTGACCATCTTTCTTTTTCTTGCTACCGCCGAAACAACCCAGATTCTCACCTAAGCAAAGAATAGAAAATTAGTATTAGTAAAATTTAAAGATATATATAAAAAATTTAAAAGATATTAAGAGTCGAATATATTTTATCGATTCTTCTCTCTTTTACATTATATTCATTTGTATTGAATTATTATTATTATTTTGTTAATTGTTCTACGATATTTCAATATTAAGAACAATATTAAGCAATACTGAATTACGAAAAGTTCAACTCATGTGTTCCTAAAATGCTGAAATTATATTTCTAAGTTTTTATCTAGCTAGCCCACTAAAATAAATGAATATCTACGCAATAAAAGAAACGAAATTGTAAACTTTTACAACAAGCTCGTTTAATTTATCACAACTTTACATGAAATTTTAGCGAAAAATAGACAGTGTGATGCAGAAATATAAATTGCTTGAAAACATAATAATTACTTTTAAAATTAAAATAAAAAAACAAATTTATAGGAAAAATATAAATTTAGCTTACGATTTAACAACGCAAAGCATGCGACAATTATATCTTTGAAAACTAATTATCGACGGAATTTCAAGAGGGGGCTTACCTTGACATAAACTGTATGCTAAAAAGATTGAAACACAGTTTAATTCATGCTGAACTATAGGATTCATAAAACAATTGATAAGATTCATAAACTAAATTAAAAAAATTTCTATAGGATTCGTATTATATAATGGACTATTTATCTAAAAAATAAGAAGGTAAAAAATAAAATCTGTAAACAAATAAGATAAACAAAATACAGGATTATCTTTATGTCTATATATTTCTGGACACACTGTATATGTATTCGCTCCAAAAATAGTAAACTGCAAATTAATCGATAGAAATCAAATCAGATAATGTGATGATAAATTAAAAGGTATCTTGAAACAAAATTATATCTACGCAAACTATCTCTTGATTGCAACGTTTTATTCTGTTGTCACTTTTCTAAGTACGTTATTTACGGTTTCTAGAGTAAATTTTGTCCTCATGCCACCTGAAAACTTCCGGTAAATCGATCCAAAAGTTTTAATCAAATTTAATACACTATATAAACTAACTATCTACAACAACTGCACCGTAAAATATTAAATTGTGAATACGTGTGTATGATAGGATTAACTATAATTTCTAATTTCATGAAGTAATGTTGGTTATCTAAAAGAGTAATCATAAATGTTTGATGGGCTCCATACGTAAATATTTTAAATAAAAAATGTATTTTAGTTAGAACTTTAAATACAGAAAAGTCTAAAAAAAATCAGACTTACATAATTATAAAATGATTATAAACGTATAAAATTAAATAAAATTTCGACAAATTATACCGTTTAAATTTTATATAATTATAAAAACTTAGTATAAGATAATTAACTTTATTTAGAAGCTACATATTTTACATGATAGTTTCGCGCAATAGCTAGAAAAGTATCCGCAGCAGAGAAGCTGTGTATCCCCTGTGATCTAATTTCATGGTTGGTTTAAGGGGTGAATCATTTGCCTCCTCTCGGTCTTTATACAACACACATACACATACATATACGGTAATCTGCATCTACATGCATACCGAGGGAGACTCGTGCATGTTGCGGAAAAACATATTCGTTCCAAAAGCGATACTCTCTGTTAAGATATTTTTCCTCTCTCTGCAATTTATTTAAAGTAGTACGTACGTTCACAATCGACAATGCAAATTTAATTGTATATTTTTTATTTTACACGTGTCACTCTCAATATAACGAAGGATTATAAACGATCTAACGCGATTCTTCAAGACCACAAAAAAATAATTTTTAACTTAATATTAGTTGCGTGTTTATATAGCTTTAATTTAATTAATCGCGTTTTTCTAATTTCCAATATTTGTGATAAAATTAAAAAGTCTTGCGTACGTAAGACATAATTTTTATCTACATTTTTTATATGATAATATAATTCGATTATAATTTTTACCAGAAAGAGACAAAAAAAAATTAAAAATAATATAAATTGTATGAATTCAAACCGCTGTGAGAATAGTTTATGAAAACTTTACTGCTATATTTTTCAACTCAAGAGAGATTAAATTTGGATAAACCTCTCTAATTAAACTCAAGTTTTTTTTATTTTTAAAAAGAAGATTTAATCTAATATTTGTGCATTTTAAAACTTTCATAGATTGTCTAAAACTGACTTCGGATTACGTATAATTAAAATTAAAATATCCCTCTCGATCTCACCTTTCGCGGGTGCTGTGACCCTGTTCTGCACCGTAGACTGTATCGGGTGTTTGTCGTAATTCGGGTCCTCCACCTCCTGGCAGCGATAGCTCAGGTTCCTCAGGATGCACACGCAGTTCTCGACGATCTTGTTACCGATGTTAGATTTCTCGATGGCCGAGCGCACCACGTAGAGCAACGCGTCCACCAGACCGTCGCATTCGCGTAGATTCTTACGCGCGTATTCGCCGGCGCTGGAGACGTTCCTCAGGACGCCCGACGCGTTCCTGAAGACCGTGGACCAGCAGGTCTCGCCGCTCGGCGAGCTCGGGTCCCAGCCGCTATGAGGTATTATTATGTTGTTCACCACCATCGTAACACCGTCGTCGATGATCGACCTCTTTAGATCCTGCAATCGTGCATCAAAAATTAGCGACTCCCTTTAATATTAGTCTCAAGTTCGAATTAGTAAAATTTCGTTTCTTCACATTTTAATTGTACAGTGCCCCGTAGGAAAACGCTGAAACTATCATTTTTTCATATCATAAATATTTTATTTATATCCATTAAAAACTGCAGACTTTATTCTTTTCAACACAATTTTTGTTTCCTCAATAACTGCAGCTGATTAGTTTCAGCATTTTCTTATGGGACCCTGTATGAATAATAATAGAACAAGAATAAGAGCTTGAAGGGAACCAAAACAGCACAACATACACGAAAAACGTTTAGAGGATATCGAGAGGACATCGAACATCCTCCGCACGTCTTCTGGATATCTTTTGAACGTTATTTGGATATACGTGCTGTTAGAGAAAGACGACAAGTTCCAGCACAAAACTATCGGTATGCGATAAAAGGAGCGATTACTCACTTCGCAAGAGGAAAGATTCCACAGTACGCCCGTAACTAATTCCTTGATATCCGCGTCGGACGTTCTTCGTAGTAGGTTGATAAGAGCCGGCACGCCGCCGGCATTCTTGATGGCGCGCTTGTTCTCGTCGTTCTGACGACCGTACGACAGGTTTCTAAGGGCGCCGCACGCGTTTCTGTAAACGTCCAAGGTATCGTGATCCAGCAGCTGCACCAGAGGCGGGATACCGCCTAGGCTGCGCGTCTTCTGCTTGTTCGGGTCGTCCATGTAGCACAGGTGTTGCAGATAGGCGGCCGCGTTCGCCTTGATTATACTGTTAGGGTTGCTGAGGAAGCCAATCACCTCGGATAGGTTCGGGTCCCGCCAGCGCATGGACTTTTGATCGTCGTCGAGCGGGCTGGCCATGCCGGGCACCATCGGGTGACGCGATTGCAGTCGTTGCAGGTGCACCTCGTCCTCGAAGATCCCGGGGGGCACGCCCGACGTCAAGGGCACCCCCGGGTGACCCTCTTCGTAACCGGGCACGTCGCTCGGAACTGGTCCGACCCCCACGGTGGGCCCGTACCCGACGGGCCCGTATGGCGACGGTGACACGTATCCGTAGGCCACTTTGCTCTCGTCTGAAATCGAACACGCAATCGGTTTTACTGCTTCCTTTTATCTGACGTTAACGCAGGTTCTCTCTATCGGGAAGTCGTTCCTTCGACTACGGTGCTCTCGCATCATTCACTCGAGTTATCTTTGCGATAACTGCTTATCTTCGCGGGTAATTGGCAGAGATTATAACGCGGATTGAGAGGTATTTTCGTTTTAAGAAATATAGTACGTGTATATGTCTTAAATATTATTAATTGTTGACTCTCTTTCTCTCATGTTATATTCTATGTGGCTTTATTTATATTATTTTTTTAATCATCAATAATTTTAATCATTTTTAAATGCTATTAATTATATTTTAATTATAGAGATATATATTATAAATATATCATATTATTTTTCTATTTAAATTTAAAGAGACAGAATTAAAACGATATGTCACAGGTCGGAATTAAAAGATAATGTTATATACCATACAGATTATCACGTAAAGTGTGATAGATATAAGACAATATTATGGTAGATTATACCATAAATGATCTCTCACATGATATCTATCAGGTTTTACGTAATAATCGTGACAAATGGTATCGTATTAAAATTTAATCATGCGTTTAATAAAATATATAGATTAACTTTATAAAAAAATCATATTCTAATGAACATTTGGGGAAGAGCTGTATATTTTATTCATTATTATATATTTCAATATTTAAAAGAGAAAATAATAAGATAAAGAGAGATAGAAACGAGTTAGATAACTGGGGGAGATGTACAATAATAACTCCATCATAAGGATGTTGAGAACGTTCGTCTATATTCCACGTGTTGCTGATTCGATCTAAAGTGAACATAAAATAACAAGAACAGCGAGAGATAATCAAAGTGAATTATGCGACGTCTCGTGACGACGAGGCATGTTTCCTCGTACAGTTTTGCATATCACACGAATCCAACTGCGTAAGCATTGGCAATAGTTGGAATTAAATTTCAGCCACTTTCATGGAAAACATAAAAATGTTGTATCGCACTTGTTGCGATTTCTATACGTACCATACTGATCCCCGGGCCCACCTGGACTCGGAGTAATGCGATAATGGTCCTGTAAAGCGGGGTTTAAGCCAGGGTCGATATCATTATAGCTACCCTCCACGTAGGGCGCACCCTTGCGCATATATTCTGCTGAAAGAAGCCATCACTTATATTGTGTTATCATTTTAAATAGATGAAGCATCTAAGTTATGGATTTTGTTGTAATCTTTAAGCGATATCTCGAGCGACAGCGATTTTTATTTAAACTCATATATATAAGGATCGTTAAAGTATTACAATATTTTAAACGCCACGAGAATTATCTCGTACATTTAAAATAAGAATTTCTGATATATCTCTTTAAAGACTGCTGTTTGAAATAATAACACCCTTCAGTCAAACAAATATTTTTATCATTCTCATATGAAAAAATTAATATTTTATCTTTAACTGAAACGCTATTAAAGTAATTATTTTCAATATAAATTTGTATCCGATCACACTGTTTTTGCTATTAATTAAACTTAAAAAAGTTATGAATATTGATCGACTGACCAATTAAAAAAGGAAGCTTGATTGCTTACTCCGCTTGCAAATAAACTCGCAAATGAGCAGAGAATGACGATTCGCATCGATATATCCGAGAGGAGGGCAAAAATGGCAAAAATGTATTTGCGGCTACATACCGTGTGGTGGGGAAGCACGACTGTGCTCCGACGGGCTATGAGGACTGTGCGGAGAATGCGAGCGCGGCATGTAAATGCCATGAGGCCCCGGATAACCTGCAGGCTGCGGCGGGTAGCCCAGGTACGGGTCGTAATGATCGAAACTGACCATGTACGGGTCCGCAGGGTAGCGCGGATCCGCGTGTTGATAGTCCTGCGACATTAGCGGCACCGACATGTAGCTGACCGCGCCCGGATCCGGCTCCATGTGGGAAACTTCACGCACGACTTTCGTCACAGTCGTCACCTGAGGAAGCGCACACCGTGTTATATAATCTCTTTCTGCTCAATGGGACTTTTCCCCGAGCGTAAAACGTGCCGCGTATATACTATCCGTTTTCGCGTATCGGTGTACACGAGTCGTTTCGAAACTCGGAGCAATAAAAATCTCGACTTCGGCGAATAAAGTTAACCGAGCTTTAAATCCGCCTTCGAGCGATATACATTCAAAACTAAAAGCGCATATATGAATGCTAGTGAATTAAATGCAATGAAAACGCATGCAACTCTAAAATTGATAAAAAAAGAAATTATTCGCGTACAATAAGCGATTGGAGAGAATTCATGGAATTCGATCTTACTTGCTGAGAAGTTTGTTGCTTATGAGTCCGAATGAGCAGCGGATCTTCCTGGACGGACAGATGAGACGAGTGCAACGAGTGGGTGTCCGCCTGTCCGTTACTCCCATGGTAATCCGTGTCGCCCTGTCCGCTACAAGCAGACAAATCAGAGAAACGAGAGTCGACGAAAGTGCGTATGTAACGTTGCATGATATCGAAAATTACTATGGTCAGAATAGAACGCTTACGTGTATTGTGGCATGTCGGGAGCTTTCTCCTGTAGGACGCGTCTGAAAATGAATATTTCTCTTTAGACTCGCTAGAAATATTTTTATAAAAAGAAACAATATTTTAGTACACGACACACTATATACAAAGCTGCACAAATTTTACAGGAATTCTATTATTCTAAGCTATAGTGGCATTATATAGCTTTACGTAGCAATATTTTACTAATATCTGAAATTAAAAACTAGTGATTAAACAAGCACGCAATATATACAAGGTGAAATAAAACATCGATAGGTATAATTTTTTAATGGATTGAAGATTGATTTTTCGTTAACGAAAAAAGTTCTTTCTCAAAAATATTAATTTCGATCAAATGTATTGAGAATATGCAACTATTGAGATTTCTTAATTTTTTTTGTTAAGAAAAACCGACTTTAAATTGGAATAGCACGGATATGGGAGAAATATTTCATGATTGGTAGGTGGATAATAAAAAGCAAACAATAAGTATACGAAACAAAGCGAAACAAAACGGCGCATACACATCAACTAGGCACGATAATAATCTTGAGGAGAATGTTACTAATTGCACTAAGCATCCTTCTTGCTGTCGCGTCATCCTGGCATGCTAATGATTGCGCAAACATGCGTCGATGATGGCGAAGTTACTCACTCTGAAAGCGTCGCGTTACGTCTTATGGTTTTAGCGGGTTATTAGAAATTACGCGACAATGTTGGGCCAATTAGTACTAATTAGACTGCACCGCAATTTAGAAAAGCGTTGTCCGTAACGATTTGCACACGTGATATAAAATCGCGTTATACTGCACGTCGCGGAGAGTGATTGTCAGTGATAATACAGTAACAATTTTCATTACCATGAAATTGAAATTTCATACAACTTTATTGTATACGAAAATTATGTAATATAATAAATTTATGCATTTGTATATTATATTTGCGTGTAAATTATCATTTATATATTTACGAGGAATAAATGAATTTGAGAAAATTCGTTTTATCATAATTAATGCGATGAAATTAATCGTACGCTCAGTTTCAGCGTGAGTAACCACATGATTAATGCATGTTAGTCACCTCTGCGTGATCTCAGTGCGAGTTATGTTGTGCTCCTGTCTCTGCTCGATCCGGCGATTCACCAGCCTAATGTTGATTATTCGTACGATTAACAAAATTGTTCGTTTCTTATCGCCACTTGCGTTATAATGTCATTGTAACTGTCTTTTTCGCCGGACGCGTTCATCTCGAAACTTTCAATATTAAACATTTCATTAACGGTGTATTTGAAATTAAGATTCCGCAAATTCCTTTAAAGTTATCAAAACTCCACGGGGAAATGAGACTTTATTGTCTATTTGTAGTTTCGAAGCTTATCGCGCCAAAACCTTTTTAATCTCCCATGTTAAGCAAGTTCGTAATTATGTCTGAATTATCGCAAAGGAAAATAGACGTCAAAGTCGTCGGAGAGTAAAACTGGAGTTTACTGTAGAAAATGCTTTGCGAATTACGCGGAGCTTAAAGCAAAATAAGAAACAAATTATCCAAGAAATTTACAGAGAGAAAGAGAAAGAAAGAAAGAACCGAAAATATCCGAAAAATTTTTTAAATATAATACAATATAATAGGAGAAGATTATCGGCGATCGATGAATGCTTTTTATGGATGTAGGAAGTCGAGCAACACTAAGAGATGAAATATGATATACATATAACACGTTAACTTTTTATCGAGGAAGCGTGTGAAAAATCTGTCGTGATCTACCATCGGTTTACTTAACATAGAGAAAGACACTTACAGACAGGAGTCAACCAGCTGATTATTTGACATACCAGCTGATTTGTGTCTCTTGCTCCCGAGCAGTGGGTGATGTTTTCTGAAAGCAAAAAATTAATAATTTTAATTCAAGAGAAAAAAAATCATTATAATTATTTACACACTTTTCTTAGGAAAAAAAAATGGTAAAGATTATCCGTTTTATATCTAATATTTATAAGTAAATCGCAATTTCTTATTAGTTTAATATAAGGATGAATCATAAATTTTTTTTGCACGCCTTAAAGATTCGATATCAATAAATGTCGAGAAAGAGAGAGAGGTATATAATTTTTATGAAAATCGACAATTAAGCCATTTATTTTAATCGTGTTAAATAGATATAAAATATTGATAATTTGTTAGTCTTTCCTTATCCATTTATCAGAATTCTTTATTTATTCTTCGCGCAAAGCTTGAAAATTGATTCGAATGCCGTAATCCTTAATTAGTTATTGACGTATATCGTATAATAATATATTTCTCTGATCGGCGCGGCGGAGAGAAATCCTTTTAATTCGCCACTTAACACGTTCGTGCGTCCATTCCGAACTCGATTAATTTCTCGCCCGGACGCTTCTTTATCACGCTTTTCGATTTACCGCGGATTTTCCGGCCTGGCTACAAAAATAGCGTTCATTGGGAGAGAAAGGTCGTTTTGGGAATCGTGTCGTCCGAGATAACTCGATTGCTGGATAAAAAAAGGGAATCGCGAAAATAGTCGAAATGAGAGCGACATCGTTCTGGGGAGAAACTATCGACTTCGAAAACGAAAATGGAGCAGCTCGATTTTCGAATATAATCGAGCGAGTTATCGCGGGGGAGGACCAATAAAATCCGTATTTCGTATTCCGCGGGGATGCGAGAGTCAAACTAAAAACAGGAAATGGGGGCGAGAGGGGCCGCATAGGGAGCACGCAGGAACGATAATTAATTTATGCCCCAAATGCTTTATTAATGAGAGTACTTGATTGCTGACAGCGAAAATGAACACCGCTTGCTGCCGGTGGAAAAATAACGAATCCCATTTCGGGTTATCGTTTGAGCAAATGTACATTAGCAACTACACTCCGTATGAATTTGCGATTATAATGCGTTCATTTACAAACGTACGCTCTGCCTCGAAAGTTAGTTTGCCCGATGGTTGCGATTTCGCAATTTTTCGAGTAATTAAACCGTACTCTATACATTTATGATTTTTGATAAGCGTCATAATTTCATCATGTATCGTGTGGCTTATTCTATTTTATTATATATAGTATATATGGAGATGTTCATATTATATAGTAAAATTGCAGAATAATCCTAGGATCAACGCGAATATTAATTTGTTGGTTTTTTTTTTCGTATATAAATAATAATTGCATATCATTACAAATTTAATATTTTATGAGTATTATGATAATTGATATGTGTAATAAATTATTTGTTGTCAATAACTTTGGAAATTGCGGTGCAAATACTAGAATTTTCGCTGATCAACGAATGCACAATACTTAAAGATTCATTTTATCGTTACAGCGAAAGATTATAGGATATATATGTATATGGGGATTATAAAAGCGTATACAAACGCGATCAAAGCGGGCGACGACAATTCTCGTGAATTGATAAAACGGCTCGGTATATTAACAATCGCGCTCGGATATACCGGAAGCGGAAACGGAAAGGGACACGCGAGAAGAGAATAAGCAATCCCCGCCTTCCCGAGGTAAAAGGGGGAGAAAAATTGTCACTGATGGACGCGGTCCGATAACTGCGTAACGCAAAAATTTTCTATACCGAAAAGATATTAATTACACGAATAAATAATAGACGCGGTGATGCACAATTATACATCTTTCTGGCCAACGGCTTGCCTCGTGAAACAGTTAATTACGTCAAATATCCACACGGCATTAGTAATTTAAAATTACCATTAACGCTTGCATGTCATTGTAATGATAGGAAAGCAATTACTGTCACATTCGAACGATAATGGGAAATAACATGGCAGGGACAAAGAAAAAAAAATTAATTGTCTAATATGTTATTGTTAGTTTATTTAATGTGCGATATTCATTTTTATTGAAATAATAAGTGCATTTTATAATGTTAGTATAAATAAGAAATATATATATTCTAATATTTTAATTCATGTATGATTTATTAAGATTATTTTTGCGAGATTTGAAAGCTTCATATAATACTATAAAAAAATGATATAAAATATTACGAAATTAATGTAAAATAGCGAAAATGAAATATCTGCTTGTATCAAATTTTTTTATTACGTTTGATAATCAGTTTCAATACAATCTCTTTGTTGTATTTGATAATTTACTTTGGGTTAATAATCTCCAGGTTAGTGTTTTGACGATTCTTTTTTGGATTGGCAGTTTTTATGCATGGGATTTAACAATCGATTTTTCATTTTATTTCGACAGTCCGGATCGCGACGATTTATTTTACCGTACTTCAATATAATCCATTCTAAAAGTTAATATTCGTAATATATATTTGACAGCTCGCGTTTCGGAAATCGAAAAATTGTTTAAATTGGATTTAATAACCCACTTTGGACTATCGATTTTCATTTTGTTCAATAAAATTTACTTCTCTTGATATTTTGTATCCGATTAACGATTATGCATAACTGTAATAAAAATTTGTCGCTCGTGGCCACAGATTTTTACTATAATCTAGTATAGATATATTAAGTTTTTCTTTTTTTTTAGAACAAGAACACGTTTTTTCGTGATCGAAAATCATTTAACTACTCATCTAATCCTCTGAAACTCCTCTGACTATTGTAAGATTTCTTTTCATCGATCTTTCCATGAAAATTACATGACCAACTGCCACCTAGTCGAAGATTTTTAATTAAATTCATATCGACATCTCGGCAAAAATATCAGCTCTGAATTAAATTTTCATTTCAACTCGCGTTCTAGAAAATTTTTTATTTAAAGTTATATGCATTTTAAAATGATAAAAAAAAATGATCTCAATTTGCAAATAAAAAGTTAAAAAAATCTAAATTATTATCTCGATTTTATTCTCAATATTTCTTTCGCAACTTTACATACATATTTCCAAATTACATATTTACATCGGAAACTTGTTTTAAAATTAAAGATCGGCTTTCGATATTCCCCGTAGGATACTTTGAACGAATTGACGATTTGGTAATTCTAGGTCACCTGAATTTTTCCCGAGTTTGTCTCTCGGAAAGAAGAGAAAGGAGACTGCTTCTTTCGCTTCTTTATTATATTCTTTTCTCACTGCAGTTATAGCAATAATCAAGTCGCACGCGTTACGATATACCTTAGAAATTTGTATTTTTCCGGTCTTTGTGCGATATCTCGCATGTGGCCGATTGTGCCTTAACGAGTGCGCGAAAATGTGTGTATGAGTGTTCGAATGCAAAATAAAGATCTCACCGAGACGATAATGGACGCGAGACGCACGTATGTAAATACAATCGCGTAATTACACACGAGGGGAGGAAGGAAAGAAAGGGATGCGATATTCACGAAAGGCCGCCATATCCTACCATGTAATTTCGCCCTCGACTTCTTAGATCTCATTTGCGAAATAGTCCACCGATCCGCGTATCGACTCGCGTAATCGCGCCTTTATCTCGCGGCTGCGAAAAAGGCCAGATATATAGTAATGATTTTCTTTCGTACGATTTTTCCCTTGTTTCTTCGCGTTAACGTTAAATTCTCGTGACAACATTGAGTATCTTCAAAATGGGTCGGAAGCTTATTTTTATTCTTTCATCTCCGTTTTATAACCGAGATAAAAATAAATTTTAAATTGACTTTTTTCAAGAGACAAAATATAATATGTTTCGCTACAATGTTATCTCAAAATTTCAACAAATATAATTAAATCTTGTATCTAATTATGAAAAATTATGTTATAAATTTTTTCATCATAAACCACAGGAGCATTAATTTTCTCTTTGAAATATTTAATTCTTTGATACATTAAAACTGGAATAAAAACTGAACAGAGTAATGGCCTTGTTCACGCAACGCGTGCCATTATTCCGGAAGAGGTGGAAACAAAAACACATATGTGCACGTATATACGAATACTAGAGTTAGTCACTAAAGAACGAGTGTCGAAATAACATCGTGAGAGTGACCATGAGTGCACGTCGGGAAAGTGTCGAGAGAGAAAGAGATAGAGAGATAATAAACACGAGAATGTATTTGAGATATCACAGTATCGTTGATTGTTGATATTTCATTAGTCAGTGTCTCGTTTACGAGTACTATTGCACATGTTGGGTTTTCCTCTCCTTCGATATTCATACCCTTTTCTTTCCTGCCCTTTATTCTACTAACAATAAAAGCTAAAGGCTTCATTACACAATTATAATAAATTATAGTATTTCTGTACCGAAACGCGTAATTAAATTTATAGAAAAATTTCATTATGCGAAGTTATTTCGTTTTCCTCGGAAAATTGGAATTTAACGTGTCAAAAAGTATCTCGTCTTTTCGAATTTTATTCTCGTTCTTCGCTGTTGTAAAGCACACCATTTACAGACAATCTCTTTACTTTCTTCTCTTTTTCCCATTTTTTATCAGAACGAAATGCACGTGGAGGATTAATTGGCAGCGCGAAAGACGTGTAACGGATTCGGATTGTATGTTCCAGGATTGTCGGGCGAATTGCACAGAAAAACACGGGGAAAATCTCGGTTCTTCTCGGTCTGGTCGAGTCAAAACTCGGAAAAGAGAAAAAAAACGCGACCGTCACGCATTATATCGGTGATCGATGTACTATATAACGCGCGAGAGCTTGCTCGATAAGAGCAATCTATTCCGTTTCGAGCTGTCCGTTATGTATAGATAAGCACCCCCGAAAATGCAACTCGAAAATTCTCGCGATTATTCGCTCTTTTCCATAAATTTTTCGTACAAATTATGAGGCCTGACGAAAAATCACCGTATCGAAAACGCGTCAGAAAATTGACCGATACACATTTTTTCTTTATATACCCGATTCTTTATAATCAAGCGTGAAAATATCAGCTGAAATGAATACGCAAACGGGTAAATATTT